TTTTGAGTATTTTTTTTTTAATCACACAAACATTACTCTGAGGAGGTAGACTGGTAGAACTGCACTGTAAGCATCGGTGGTCTAGTGGTAGAATACTCGCCTGCCACGCGGGTGACCCGGGTTCGATTCCCGGTCGATGCAACTTTGAGTATTTTTTTTTTAATCACACAAACATTAATCTGAGGAAGTTGAGTCGTAGCAGTGCACTGTAAGCATCGGTGGTCTAGTGGTAGAATACTCGCCTGCCACGCGGGTGACCCGGGTTCGATTCCCGGTCGATACAACTTTTGAGTATTTTTTTTTAATCACACAAACATTACTGTGAGGAGGTAGACTGGTAGAACTGCACTATAAGCATCGGTGGTCTAGTGGTAGAATACTCGCCTGCCACGCGGGTGACCCGGGTTCGATTCCCGGTCGATGCAACTTTTGAGTATTTTTTTTTTAATCACACAAACATTACTGTGAGTTGGTAGACTGGTAGAACTGCACTATAAGCATCGGTGGTCTAGTGGTAGAATACTCGCCTGCCACGCGGGTGACCCGGGTTCGATTCCCGGTCGATACAACTTTTGAGTATTTTTTTTTAATCACACAAACATTACTGTGAGGAGGTAGACTGGTAGAACTGCACTATAAGCATCGGTGGTCTAGTGGTAGAATACTCGCCTGCCACGCGGGTGACCCGGGTTCGATTCCCGGTCGATGCAACTTTTGAGTATATAATTTTTTTTTAAATCACACATACATTACTCTGAGGTGGTAGACTGGTAGAACTGCACTGTAAGCATCGGGTTCGATTCCCGGTCGATGCAACTTTTGAGTATTTTTTTTTAAATCACACAAACATTACTGTGAGGAGGTAGACTGGTAGAACTGCACAATAGGCATCGGTGGTCTAGTGGTAGAATACTCGCCTGCCACGCGGGTGACCCGGGTTCGATTCCCGGTCGATGCAACTTTTGAGTATTTTTTTAAATCACACAAACATTACTCTGAGGAGGTATACTGGTAGAACTGCATTGTAAGCATCGGTGGTCTAGTGGTAGAATACTCGCCTGCCACGCGGGTGACCCGGGTTCGATTCCCGGTCGATGCAACTTTTGAGTATTTTTTTTTTAATCACACAAACATTACTGTGAGGAGGTAGACTGGTAGAACTGCACTATAAGCATCGGTGGTCTAGTGGTAGAATACTCGCCTGCCACGCGGGTGACCCGGGTTCGATTCCCGGTCGATGCAACTTTTGAGTATTTTTTTTAATCACACATACATTACTCTGAGGTGGTAGACTGGTAGAACTGCACTGTAAGCATCGGGTTCGATTCCCGGTCGATGCAACTTTTGAGTATTTTTTTTTAAATCACACAAACATTACTGTGAGGAGGTAGACTGGTAGAACTGCACTGTAAGCATCGGTGGTCTAGTGGTAGAATACTCGCCTGCCACGCGGGTGACCCGGGTTCGATTCCCGGTCGATGCAACTTTTGAGTATTTTTTTTTTAATCACACAAACATTACTCTGAGGAGGTAGACTGGTAGAACTGCACTGTAAGCATCGGTGGTCTAGTGGTAGAATACTCGCCTGCCACGCGGGTGACCCGGGTTCGATTCCCGGTCGATGCAACTTTTGAGTATATAATTTTTTTTTTAAATCACACATACATTACTCTGAGGTGGTAGACTGGTAGAACTGCACTGTAAGCATCGGTGGTCTAGTGGTAGAATACTCGCCTGCCACGCGGGTGACCCGGGTTCGATTTCCGGTCGATGCAACTTTTGAGTATTTTTTTTTAAATCACACAAACATTACTCTGAGGAAGTTGAGTGGTAGAACTGCACTGTAAGCATCGGTGGTCTAGTGGTAGAATACTCGACTGCCACGCGGGTGACCCGGGTTTGATTCCTGGTCGATGCACTTTTGAGCATTTTTTTTAAACACACAAATATTACTCTGAGGAGGTTGACTACTCGCCTGCCACGCCGGTGAGCCGGGTTCGATTCCCGGGCGATGCATCTTTTGAGTCGTCTAACTTAAAGAAAGTTATGAAAATTATTTTTTTAACTTTCCAACGGACTTTAGGTGTCAATCTTGACAGACTAATCATTTTTGCACGTTTAATTATCGTGACGAATATCAATCAAAATTTAAAAAAAAAAAACGAAATCTTGAGGGTTTTTTTTTTAAAAAAAGTTTTGTTTCAAACCAAATACTACACAATTCGTTCTAGGTCTAACAATAGCTGTGCATTATTAAACGTTGCAAACTCTGAAAATTGACAGGCAAATATAAATATATCCCCCCCCCCCCCCCATCCAGAACTTCCCCTCTCGGACAAGTGACCCAGTTCTGTAGCTGACCAGAGCGAACCAACACAACACCAGGGCCTGCCAAGTGAGGGGTCGTGTCCCAGATGCATGAGATGTTCTCAGGCTCAGCCAGGCAAACACCGGCACATTTTTTTTTCTACCGTTCTCTTTCTTCAGGCCCTCTCACTTTAAAAAAATGTTTCACCTTTTGGTCTGTTGATGCTGGAGGTATGAAAAATCTGGCCATAACTCCTCATGTCTAAATTTAAGTTTTTATTAAACTGGTATTTCTTGATAAATTAACCTTATACATATTCAGTTTTACACATCCCTTTTAAAATAAGTTAGATCTATTACTTTATTGTGGTAATAAAAATATGATTAACCTTGGTCAAATAAAAAAAAAATAACATTTGTTAGAAACAAACAAAATTGGCAAATAAAAATTCGTGTTTGTTCTTTTAAAATATTTAGTTTTGCAGGAACAGTAATTAAGTTTGTAACTTCCGAATAGCCCACTTGGTTTATTTAAAATATTAAAGTAGAAATTCATACACGAATGTTGATGTGTTGTTAAATAAGCTAGGGTTTATCTTTGTAGGAGAACTTTAAGCAACTCAAGTTGTGAAGCAGACTTTTTCAGACAAAAGTTGTGAAGCATTCTTTTAAAGGCAAAAGTGGGGTCATCCATAAATGGCGTCACGCTTTTTTGACGATTTTTACTCCCCCCCCCCTCCGTCGCATGTCGTCACAAAAAGCCAGACCGCCCCCCCCCCTAAAATGACGTCACACCTCAGCCTACAACATCGATAAAAACATCTTAAAACATCGATATTTGTCCAAAATCTTGTCTGAACTCTGTCAACATAGAGTATTTTGATGAATTCCTATTGTAATTTATTAAAGCAGTTTTCTAAAGCGCGAAATAACGGCTAAAACTCGTTTTCTAATATTACTTTTTTATAATGCAAAAAAGTGACGTCACACTATCGGAACCCCCACCTCCCCCTCATCACACACCGACACAAAATTATGGACCCCCCTCCCCCCTACCAGTGTGACGTCATTTATGGACGACCCCCAGTTATGATCATACTTATTAAGACAAAAGTTATGATCATACTTATTAAGACAAAAGTTGTGAAGCAGTCATATTAAATAAGACAGATTTTGTAAAGCAGACTTTGAAGACATTAAGTCAAAAGTATGAAGCATTCCTTTAAAGGCAAAAGTTATTTATGATCATAGTAAAAGTAAAAAGTAAATTTAAAAAAAATATAAACGGAACACACGATTTAAGTTGATGGCTGAAATCCAAATGAAGTCCTTGTCTGTCTAGCTGTAAGACGTTTATCTACTTGAAAAATTCGTTTTGGATTTCCTCTCGGCTGTAATGTGTGCATCTGTTTGTGTGCTGGTGGCGCTACAAGGCAAGTTTAAACACGACATCTCGTGGCTTTTCTACCGACGACAACTTCTGCAAACATCTCCGGCGCGGGATCACCTCTGACCTGAAGACACTAACGCCTGCTGCTCACGATACTCCCAGACAGTGTTCGGTCTGATTTAACTCTATAGTAAACTAAAGTCAATAAATAGAACATTAGAGCTTTTAAAAAGCTGTCACAGCGTGTAGACAAGGAACACTTTTGTGTTGTGGGTTTATTGATGAGCCAACAAAAAATTCAAATATTAATTTTAAAGTTAAATGAACACATTGTTAGAGACAGTTGGCTAGTTTTTGTTACAGAAAATACTATAGAAATATTGTTTTCGAATTTTAAAAATTTGGTATGGTGAAATAAAATCAAAATCTTTGCTAAATTTACTGATATTTCAATATACTAAATTTTTTAAATTTGAAAGAAAATAAAAATTTATGGGGTGTTTTCTGTTACAAAAACTAGCCAGCTGACTCTATTAGAAAGATCAATGGTTATATGATCAATTTATTTGACAGTTTTATTTATTTTGACAGTTATTTGACCGCCTCAAAAGATTGGGTTTTTTTTTTAAGTTGGCCGCCGTTGCAATTGTAACTATATAAAAAGTCCCTGATGCATGCAAATATAATTCCCTTAAGTACCCCAACGTAGATACACTGAAATAAATAAAGAGGACTTATTAATTAAAAGGTGGTTTTTTTTTCTTTCTTTTTTCCCAAAGCCCTTTTAACCATTGCACCCACCCCCAAGGGAAAAGTGCCCGAGACCCTAATAGCGAACTGTAACAATGGCAAGACTACGTGTTGTCGCTTGTCCAAAACATTACCGTCAGCACAGGCCTTAAACAGCAAATGTGTGTGTGAGAGAACTTGGCTATTAGGGCTCAGTCACCGATGTTTAGAAACGTTTCTCCCACAGCATAGCATAAAGCCTCAACAACTGTGTGTCCGAGTGTTAACTTTTTCTCCCAAGTCCTCTGGCTAAATACTCTAGCGGCGTGTGCGTGGTACTGTGTTCGGCATCGTCTGCCAACTGGAGTTCAAACCTGGACCTTCAGTTCTTTAGCACCAGTTCAACTTGAGCGACATTTCTCATGAAGGCTTTTATCAAAACCACTTAACGCTGTAGCAGGAGTACCACGATGAAATATAGATAGAAGTATTGTCCAATCTGGCAATCCTGTGCTGACGTTGGCCAGTTGTAAGGAATGTGTTGTTGCCAGCGGTCTTGACGGAAAGGCCAAACATGGGGATTAGGAGATATTTTATTTGCATAATATTTGTTGTACAGTACCCGGCTAATGCCTCAGGTTAGTGTTCATCTTTTCAGTATGAGGACTATAGCGGTAGATGTTATGTTTACATTTAGTCATATGATAAATAGTTATAATTTATTACTAATAATTTATTACACTTTTCTTTGACCCCCCACCCCAATAATCCCTCCATTACATAGCACTTCACCCGAACACCATTCCCTCGTGTGTGACGTCATTTACCAAGCCCCCCCCCCCATTTGACTAATGACCACAACAGTTGTTTACTATTTACAAACTGGCAACAACAACCGATACTCCTATTTCAGAAATAAATAACAATGTGCCAGATTTTGTTACTCATGGTCTCCACCTAAACAAATGTTATGTACACTGTACAAGTGTATGTATGTTGGTATTTTCATAGGTAGGCCTATAGAAACTTTTTTTTTTTAAATGCTCTTAAAAATGGCTTTTTGAACGACATAAAATGTTAAGATCAAACGGCGACATTTTTAAAAACCCTTTTTTTTTTTACAACTAATTCTGTTAGTCATGGGAGTGGGGCACAAACGGCTGACTAGAATTACCAAAAGCTAATTGTTAATTGTTTATATTGGAAAAATATTAAGTAACTCAATTTGAACCTCTCGTTAGAATATCGGCACAAAACACTTTCAAAGGAGAATTAAATACAGAAATCACGAACTGTGGTTTCAAAAAGTGTGATTACAAAAACTTGATTGTGTGTTTTTGTGTGTGTAGTACAGAATCGAATTATTTGTTGATATTGCTATTTTAGGGGACTACACCAAAGTTGAAAATAAAAATAAATGTTTTTCGCCTTTGCCACGTTGACCCGAGAATAAAACTAAACAAAAAGACAAGCTGACATTCAATTACAGTTTCAACAGTAGAAAACGTCAAACCCCCCCCCCCCCCCCGCATACACACAAATGACATGCAAATCTGATAGTACAGGCTTAGTGGTCATCTTAGATAAATAGTGGCACTTTAAAGTTTATTTTTTAAAAGAAAAGGATACTGTTACACAATTTCAAGTCATATTTTAAATACCCTATCCACACCACATCCTCTTTGTGCCCTATCCACCCTACATCCTCCGAGGGTCTACCCTTTCCACCCCACATCCTCTGAGCGTATGCCCTATCCACCCCACATCCTCTGAGGGTCTACCCTATCCACCCCACATCCTCTGAGGGTGTACCCTATCCACCCACACTTTCTTCCTAGATCTAGCATTTCCTTCTCCATTGGTGTTTGGTTCACAGATTAACCTGGTGTGGAGGGTAAGATGTACAGGGTCCCTAAAGACAAAAGCCATAGTTTCATTCTATTGATGCATTTGATTCAAATTTCGCCTATTATTTTGTCCATCTCCCAGATAATGAAGGCGAACCGTTCTACGACGCGGGAGGGAACTACTACGACTTCCACCCCAGCAGCGAGAACCTAGAGCGACTCAACATCGACGGTTCCATGCGCGCGCTGGGGGAGGATAGCATCGGTCAGATGAGACCCATCGACCTCCACGTCTCGGAGAGTCCACTCTCCATCCCCCCTCACCACTACTACGATGACAACATCCGGCGGGACGATGTCCCGGATGTGAAATACCTAGACGAGAACGAGGCTACAAAGGATGGCGTCCTTCACGACAACGAATTTTACAAGCGCGATAACCTGGATTCTTTATCAGACAGAGAAAAGTCCACGGGAGCTAACCGGTTGTACCACACGAGGTACAGCAACAACGGGACGGGGTCTCCGCACAACTTCACTCACCACAGCACACACGGCTACAACGGTACAACACACGACTTGGGTCAGGTCAACAGCAGCTCGTGTGACGCTGTGACTCATTCGGGATGTGATGTCATTCACTACGAGCGATGTGACGCCAAGCTGAGAGTCTGTCGATGCTTGAACGGATATCTGAGAGAACACGGCATTGTGGGATTAGGGGGGTGTAAAGGTAAACACTTTTTTTTCGGGGGATTAGGGGGGGGGGGGTAAAGGTGAGTACTATTTTAGGGGGATTAGGGGAGGTGTAAAGGTGAATACGTTTTTAGGGGGATAAGGGGGATGTAAAAGAGAATACTTTTGGGGATTAGCGGGGGGGGGGGGGGATGTAAAGGTGAATACTTTTTAGGGGTTGGTGTAAAGATGAATACTTTTTAGGGGGAAGGGGGGAGGGGGGTATAAAAAGGGATACAAAGCTTTGATTTATTTTCTGATTTTTTCCCACGTTTTCTTTAACTTGCTTTCGTCTCTGTCTTTCCAATCAAATCTTGCGATCGAAATTTCTGGCACTTCCCAGTTAGCTAGCGCGCTGAAATTTTCAGTGAAGCTTTGTTTTGGATGACAATAGAATATTCAATTGTTATTATTACTAAATTGATCCATGGAAACATTTTATTGAGCATTTTAGACCGCTATATAATCTATATAGGCCTATATAATTCTCCTCTGCGAGCCGTTAGAAAACAAGCTGCAAGCGCCTCCTTACAGTCCCCTCTCTTTCTCTCTATCACTATCACTACCACCCTACCCCACCCCACGTGGTCTGCTGAGCTGTGGTCACGTTAATGTTTACAAACCGTACAGCCAGGTTTAGTGACGGCTATTAGGGGCAGATAATTACGTTTGAACCGACTTTAAACTTACAGGAAGTAACTAAGAGGAGGCTGCTTTCACGGGGGGGGGGGGGGGGTGTAGGGTCGGGGTTAGGGGAAAGGAGGGGGGGGTTAGTGTTTTAAAGCAAATATTTTCAGTGGCAGCATTGGTACTGTCGAATTCGCAAATTATGGATTACTGAAAGTAGAAAATAAATCAACTAAATAGCGGCGTATGATACGCCGCGGGTCGGCTCGTTGTAGTAAATACGTGGGGAAAAAGGGACATAACTCAGTAACTGTAATTTGTGTACAAACAACCGTAACAACTGGTGGCCAGTATGGGGGAGACGATATGGTCGAGTGGTTGGGCACACGATTGCTATCCCACTCGACACGGGTTCAAATCTATGTGTTCTAGTCAGTAACGTATTCACACAACGTGTTTTTTACGAGTTGTCTTTTTACGAGTTGTCTTTTTACGAGTTGTCTTCGTTTACCCAAAAAAAGTGAAAAGATAAAATAGATAGAAAGATTTTAATGCAAACAAACAGACAAAGACTAAAAAGTAGAAAATAATAATCATTAAAAAAGTTTTAAAAAAACCCACGTTTTCTGATTGAACTAAAAAGTAGAAAAGAAATGCTATACATCACAATAATGCAAGCGATCACTCTACTATAAGCGATCAAAAACGTGGGGCGCCGTGATTTTCTTACAGTTTCTAATACTGTTGACTCTCTACAAGCTCCCTAATAAAAGTCAATAGTATTATCTAATCAATAGTAATATAACTTTTACTTCGGCGCCCCACGTTTTTCATCGCTTATAGTAGAGTGATCGCTTGCATTATTGTGATGTATAGCATTTATTTTCTACTTTTTAGTTCAATCAGAAAACGTGGGTTTTTTTTTAAACTTTTAAAATGATTATTATTCTCCTTTGTCAATGCTACCATTTTACCATTTCATAGCCTTCCTATTGAGACGTAAAATTCAGGTTTTGATGGAGAAAAAAAAATGCACAATGAAAATTCCAACTGGGGGCCCCTTTAAAAATTTCTCGGCCTCTTGGATAGTCCGCCCCGATACAACCCATCCTTTTCATGGCTAATGGCTTTTACTTTGTGTATAAATTTTGGATAGCTCTGTTACTGTTTGGGTTAACGCTCTCGCGGGCACCTGGCAGTGACCCCAGTAATGACTGCATGCAAGGGGAGGGGAGGGGGCAAAATTTCTAGAGTTTATGGTTTTAATGCCCTTTAAAAAATTATATTATGTTACGTATCCTCCAATAAAAACAGCTGTGTCAATTATATATATATATTTTTTAAATTGTCACATCCGAGCATACCTTCTGCTCTCTCTGCCTCCCATCACCTTTCTAAATGTGACACTTGGACGGTGACATGTAAAAGTTGTCATTCCGAGTTTTTTTAAAAACTTGTTGACAGTCTCAGTCAGGTCAGTGTGACATTTTGTCGGTCGATTTACTCGTGTGCTGGACAAGGATGAAAGTTGCATGTCAAGATAATAGCTGGTATAACCAAGATCATCACAATTGGTATAACATAGATCATCACAGCTGGTATAACCAAGATCATCACAGCTGGTATAGCCAAGATCATCACAATTGGTATAACCAAGATCATCACACCTGGTATAACCAAGATCATCACAGCTGGTATAGCCAAGATCACAGCTGGTATAACCAAGATCATCACAGCTGGTATAGCCAAGATCATCACAATTGGTATAGCCAAGATCATCACAATTGGTATATCCAAGATCATCAAAATTTGTATAACCAGGATCACAGCTAATATAACCAAGATCACAGCTAATATAACCAAGATCACACCTAATATAACCAAGATCACAAGTGGTATAACCAAGATCATCACACCTAATATAACCAAGATCACACCTGATATAACCAAGATCACAGCTAATATAACCAAGATCACACCTAATATAACCAAGATCACAAGTGGTATAACCAAGATCATCACACCTAATATAACCAAGATCACACCTGATATAACCAAGATCACACCTGATATAACCAAGATCACACCTGATATAACCAAGATCACACCTGATATAACCAAGATCACAGCTGATATAACCAAGATCACACCTGATATAACCAAGATCATCACATCTGGTATAACCAAGATCTTCACACCTGATATAACCAAGATCACACCTGATATAACCAAGATCACACCTGATATAACCAAGATCACACCTGATATAACCAAGATCACACCTGATATAACCAAGATCACACCTGATATAACCAAGATCACACCCTGATATAACCAAGATCATCACATCTGGTATAACCAAGATCTTCACACCTGATATAACCAAGATAACACGTGATATAACCAAGATCTTCACACCTGATATAACCAAGATAACACGTGATATAACCAAGATAACACGTGATATAACCAAGATCACATCTGATATAACCAAGATCACAGCTTGTATAACCAAGATCACAGCTGGTATAGCCAAGAGCGGGAGCTATATAAAAACTGAACTGGTCCATAGACAGAGGATTAGTTCCTGGTCTTCTCCCAGCCAACCATCCTAAGTGATGTGTGGGGTTTAGATCCATCTGATCCCTGAATTAGGAACGTTGTAGAGTGAGGTCCCCCATGATCCCTAAATTAAGGAACGTTGTAGAGTGAGGTCCCCCATGATCCCTGAATTAGGAACGTTGTAGAGTGAGGTCCCCCATGATCCCTGAATTAAGGAACGTTGTAGAGTGAGGTCCCCCATGATCCCTAAATTAAGGAACGTTGTAGAGTGAGGTTCCCCATGATCCCTGAATTAAGGAACGTTGTAGAGTGAGGTCCCCCATGATCCCTGAATTAAGGAACGTTGTAGAGTGAGGTCCCCCATGATCCCTGAATTAAGGAACGTTGTAGAGTGAGGTCCCCCATGATCCCTGAATTAAGGAACGTTGTAGAGTGAGGTCCCCCATGATCCCTGAATTAAGGAACGTTGTAGAGTGAGGTCCCCCATGATCCCTGAATTAAGGAACGTTGTAGAGTGAGGTCCCCCGTGATCCCTGAATTAAGGAACGTTGTAGAGTGAGGTCCCCCGTGATCCCGGAATTAAGGAACGTTGTAGAGTGAGGTCCCCCATGATCCCTGAATTAAGGAACGTTGTAGAGTGAGGTCCCAAATGATCCATGAATTAAGGAACGATGTAGAGTGAGGTCCCCCATGATCCCTGAATTAAGGAACGTTGTAGAGTGAGGTCCCCCATGATCCCTGAATTAAGGAACGTTGTAGAGTGAGGTCCCCCATGATCCCTGAATTAAGGAACGTTGTAGAGTGAGGTCCCCCATGATCCCTGAATTAAGGAACGTTGTAGAGTGAGGTCCCCCATGATCCCTGAATTAAGGAACGTTGTAGAGTGAGGTCCCCCATGATCCCTGAATTAAGGAACGTTGTAGAGTGAGGTCCCCCATGAGCCTTTAAGGAAGGTTGGAGGGTGATGCATACATAAATTAACAGACAGTTGCCGGCATTACCCGTACTTTAAGTTTATCTGGCACTTCTGTACCTGTATGAGGCGCACAGGCAATGTCCACACACATTCCAAACACAGCCAAAATGTTTTTGTGTGTTTGTTTTAATGTGTCTGACTTAGCCCAAATCACACATTGTTGTAACAAATATCTCTACAAAACTAAATTTCCCACTGGTAATTTAACAACTCCGGATTCTATTCACAGCTGCCAGTTTTTACCATGGCCACCTGACAGTTCGAGCTTCGGGGGTCGAACAGAGCTACACCCCACAGCAGCTTCAGCCAATCAAACACAAGCTCATGACGCTGGTAAGGTCACGTGTCTTAGAAAACCAGAACGTTAATTCGACTTACATGTTTTGTTTAATTTAACAGTTTATTCAATTAAAAAACCCGTATATCTAGATAAACAGTGTCTAAATAGGCTACCGTTAAAGACGAACCTCCGTTTGTCTTTAAATTATTTGATAAAGCTAACGCCTCATTAAACTAGAGTCAAATGGTTATTTCAAAAATGCCTAAATTTTTACTTATACGGTCTGATGTATAATTTTAAAATGTAATTTTCAGTTAAAGTTGTTGAACTCGGGCGTTTTGCTCAGGGTGAAAGAGGGGGGGGGGGGGGGTGACTTGAAGCCTTTAAACATCCAGTACAATGGGGGATGGGCGATTAGTCGAACAATGTTTAAAGTATATACTTTCCATTTACATTCAAAGTTTTCATTTTATCAGGGGGGGGGGGGGAGGGGGGGGGGGAGGGTTAAGTCCTTAGAGATGCCAGAATAAAACACCGCCTAGCACTAGCTCGCGATTTCCTGTGTTGGTACGTCTCCCATTTTTGGAAACCACTGTTTTATTTTTGGAAACCAGTGTTTTACTTTTGGAAACCACTGTTTTACTTTTGGAAACCACTGTTTTACTTTTGGAAACCAGTGTTTTACTTTTGGAAACCACTGTTTTACTTTTGGAAACCACTGTTTTACTTTTGGAAACCACTGTTTTACTTTTGGAAACCAGTGTTTTACTTTTGGAAACCACTGTTTTACTTTTGGAAACCACTGTTTTACTTTTGGAAACCACTGTTTTACTTTTGGAAACCACTGTTTTACTTTTGGAAACCACTGTTTTACTTTTGGAAACAAGTGTTTTACTTTTGGAAACCACTGTTTTACTTTTGGAAACCACTGTTTTACTTTTAGAAATAAGTGTTTTACTAGTAATAGCCAGCAGCTTCCTCACAATTATTTACAACACGCCCACAAACCTTTAAAACACGCCCACAGCTCTTTACAACCAGATTTTCTTCCAGGCATCTCTATCGCCCCCCCCCCCCTCGAACGAAATGGAATTTGTATAGAAAACATATACTTTTAATAGAGTTCCCCCCCCCCCCCCCCGTAAATTTTAGTCTGGAAGAAACACAGCCCACATCCCTTTACAACACGCCCACAGCCCTTTACAATATGCCCACAATACTTTACACCGACAACTCTTTACACCACACCCACAACAGTTTACGTCCAATTCTCCTATCAGATCCAGCTGACTTTCAAGAAACAGGACATTCAAGGGGTGCTGGGCCTTGACATCGACTCCATAGAAAAACAAGACCAGCGCATGACGCTCTCCTTCGAGCTGGGGATGGACAAAGCCTTGACTTCCGGTATTGGTGAGATCCAACACGTCCTGAGCCAAGAGTTGTTGGTGACGTCAGACGGAGAACTTCTGCTGGATCCCACCGTAAGGGAGAACACTGGCAATGAAACTGAATTGTCAAGCTTATTCTCTCCCTTGGTTGGTACGTACGCTTTCGAATGTAATCTTTATCGTATTTGAACACAGAATTATTTATTTGTAAATTATTGTTTGTAAATGAATGTAAAGTAAGATGTCTCATGATATATATCCAACATATACTAACTAGTATTACTAGTAGTAACTACTATACATTTTTGTACCTAACAGTAAAGTAAATTGGTTATCATTTTATTGGTTTGTCAAGATGAGGGCTGATGAGGTAAATTGATCTTTACAAATTACGTGGTAAATGATTTGACGTTATTATTGAAATTGGCCGGTATTGCCATTGTTATGATTTAAAAGTTAAAATAACCATTTGATTATAACATGGATAGTGTCCAGTTTTTTAATTAAACCTAGATATGACCAATGCTAATGTTAGACTTTAAACTGACCACTTGACATATGCTTATGTTACAGAGGTAAATCCTTGCATCAACAGTGAGCACAATTATTGTGGCACACATGCCATTTGTAAATACACCAATGACGTCATGTCATGTCACTGTCAGAAAGGTTACGATGACCCAAGTCCAAACTTGTACAGACTACCTGGAGAAATGTGTATAGGTGAGTGCTTTAGGTAGTGGCATCGCTAGGCTGAGCGTCACCCAGTTCTTGTACAGACTACCTGGAGAAATGTGTATAGGTGAGTTCTTTAGGTAGTGGCATCGCTAGGCTCAGCGTCACTCAGTTCTTGTAGAGACTACCTGGAGAAATGTGTATAGGTGAGTGCTTTAGGTAGTGGCATCACTAGGCTGAGCGTCACCCAGTTCTTGTACAGACTACCTGGAGAAATGTGTATAGGTGAGTGCTTTAGGTAGTGGCATCACTAGGCTGAGCGTCACCCAGTTCTTGTACAGACTACCTGGAGAAATGTGTATAGGTGAGTGCTTTAGGTAGTGGCATCGCTAGGCTGAGCGTCACCCAGTTCTTGTACAGACTACCTGGAGAAATGTGTATAGGTGAGTTCTTTAGGTAGTGGCATCGCTAGGCTGAGCGTCACCCAGTTCTTGTACAGACTACCTGGAGAAATGTGTATAGGTGAGTTCTTTAGGTAGTGGCATCGCTAGGCTCAGCGTCACTCAGTTCTTGTAGAGACTACCTGGAGAAATGTGTATAGGTGAGTGCTTTAGGTAGTGGCATCACTAGGCTGAGCGTCATCCAGTTCTTGTACAGACTACCTGGAGAAATGTGTATAGGTGAGTGCTTTAGGTAGTGGCATCACTAGGCTGAGCGTCACCCAGTTCTTGTACAGACTACCTGGAGAAATGTGTATAGGTGAGTGCTTTAGGTAGTGGCATCGCTAGGCTGAGCGTCACCCAGTTCTTGTACAGACTACCTGGAGAAATGTGTATAGGTGAGTGCTTTAGGTAGTGGCATCACTAGGCTAGGCGTCACCCAGTGCGGCACCTCATGGGGGGGTGGGCGGGGGTACGGACCGCACCGGGTGACACCATTTAGGGGGGTGACACCAAGGCAAAAAAATAGTAAAATATATAGAGAAAAATTTGAGGGGGGGGGTGCAAATCGAAAGTTTGAGGGGGGGGGGAGGCAAATCGAAATTTGTTCCCGAGAAGAGTCGCTACGCCTCTGAGGGGGTGACACCATTAAGTGCCGCACCGGGTGATACCCGACCTCGCTACACCACTGGTTAAGGTAATCAAGGTGTAACAGGTGGAAGGTATTTGTTAATAGAGAACTTCAGTTAAAGAAAAATGCTGTAAGACATACAACACAAGACCGCTGTAATATGATAGACATCTTAAAGGCAGCTGTGGTATGACTGATAGCACAAGGCAGCTGTCATATGAAAGATAGCAAAAGACAACTGTCATATGAAAAATAGCATAGCACAAGACAGCTATATGTAGTATAAACAACAACACAAGATCTAACACGAAGGGTTGCTGAAGGGCCTTCCATAAATAACAAGGCACTATTTATGTATTTTGTTATACCCCACACCCCTATTGTCACATCATCACAACAGACAAACATTGCCCTTGAAGCAGGTTTTTAAAATAAATGCTGGGTGACATTTCTTGAACCTCATCACACATCATCACACATCATCACAAATGTTCCCTCTAAGCTGCACAGATGTCTGGTGGGCAGTTGTTTTGAACCTACTACATATATTCTTGTATAAAGCTGTTAGAACACTATGCACACAAAATAAACATTACTCGGTATCTTTAACACCTTACAGACAAACGATCTTCACACATCATCACCTAATTATTCACCTCTTTGCTCCTTGGACGACACCCCCCCCCATACATACTTTATATTTAGTGGTTTGATTATTCATAGAGACAAAAAAAAATTTACTTCCAGAAAAATGTTCTTGTCAGAACGGAGGTTTGTGTATTGATGACGACGTACTGGCTGGTACTAAACAATGCAGGTTTGTCTGAGACTTTTTTTTTAAAACATACCTTGTGTCTGTTTTTGTGCTTTTTGTTTTCAAATCATAAGGGCTTATCCTGTATGCAAAGGCAAAAAAAATGTAGATTTTCTGTTATTGACATTTTAACTAAATTAACATCCAACAATTTTTTTTTGTTCTGCTGCTCTAACTAATCCAACAATTTTCCACAGCTGCTTGAAGTGGTACTTTGGGTCTCAGTGTCAAATTGATGGGAAAGGTAATTTTGAACATGCTAGTGGATCTACACGATAGCAGCATACATTTGTTTAAATATGTACTGCATAAACTTGACCTTTAGATTTGTGAAAATGCCTGTGTAAAACTGCCATAATGTGTGACGTGTTGACCAACAATTGGGACTCTAAAGTTGCTGTTAGAATGATATAGACTAAAAATTTTAACAAGGTAAAGCTCCTAAAATATGAAGTGTGCAGACAAGCAGTTTTGTCTGTGAAACTGCTGACACATGTAGTCTGTAGACTAACATCAGACAGTTCTAATTGTTTTCTCTCTAGAGGTGGTGTAGTGTATTGTCTAGCAGTTTAAAACTATATCTACTCTAAAGATGGTGTAGTGTACAAACTAGCATTTAAGCATTCTACCTTCTAAAGGTGTTGTAGTGTGTAAGCTAGCAGTTTAAAATTCAACCTTCTGTTTGTTCTCTAAATAAAGTAAATATAATGTAGAGAATAGACTAGCAGTTAAAAATTCTATCTTCTATTTTTCTAGAGGTGTTGTAGTGTGTAAGCTAGCAGTATAAATTTCTACTTTCTATTTGTCTAGAGGTGCTGGTGATCTGTAGCAGCAGTGTTGGGAGTTTGATCTTCCTGGGCTCTCTGCTGTGTTGCTGTTGTTACTGCTGCAGTAAACACAAAAACAAGTAAGTGAAGCTTATGTCAGGCCTAGTAGAGGAGCTAAATAATAGTTTTATAATAGACAAGCTAGGCCTAGAAGAGGAGCTAATTAGTGGACATTTCAAGCCTAGTACTAGTAAGTAGAGGAACTAATTACTAATTAGTGGACATGTCAAGCCTAGTAGATGAGCTTATTAATTGGACTAGTTAGGCTTAGTGGATGTACTTTTTAATGGACAAATTTGGCCTTCTGAGCAGTAACATGGCTCAGGGCTTCTGCAACCATTTTATTGAACTTGATCTAGTAAGATATGGTTGTACCAGCATTGATCCCCTAGAAAGTAATAAAACAAAATGATGTTTTACATCTATTCTCTATGTTAATAAACCTCTTCTGTAAACCTTACGATTAAAGTAACCAATTAAAGTAACACCATAAATACTTTTCACACCAGCAATGTCAGATCAAGGATGCTACATTTTTCACCTGACATCAGCATCCTAAAGCTGCCGAGAGTGTGGATGGACACGACGACGAGTTTCCATGAGAATGATATTTCACCTGAAAACAATCGGAGAATGAGTATAGCATCTGAGAGCAACCCGTATTTTGACGGATATGTAGGACATTCACTTTTCTCTACATTTTTTACTTTAAGAAAATTATTCTTATTATAAACATTTATTTTCTTAAACGCAGCTACAAATAGAACCTTTTTTTTACTATCTTATGAGCTAAAGAGTTGTTATTTATGATTAAAATTGTTATTTTCAGATTCTAGAGGATATTCCACTGAGCACACTTCCCAGACATGTTGAGCCACACACACAATATTATCAGGTAAGTTTTGTCTTTGTCAGCTAAATATATGACACACAATATTATCAGGTAAGTTTTTTCTTTCTTTATATCAGGCATTATCATTGTGTTTTGTTGACTCTCTACATGAATGATGAACTTGCCCACCCCATGTTAATGAATGTCAATTTTGTAACTTAGCAGGCAACATTAGGACACCACCCAGCCACGATGTCAACACATTCCTTCTACAGATATTGACACAACCCAAAGACCATTTTAATATTCTACGGATATTGACAGCAGCCAGACACCATGTCAAGATTCTACAGATATTGACATGTTAACATTCTATGGAAATTGAAACCATATCAACATTCTTTAGATATTAACACCATGTCAAGATTCTACAGATATTGAGACCATGTCAACAGTGATTGACACCATGTCAAGATTCTACAAACATTAACACCATGTCAAGATTCCACAGTTATTGCACCATGTCAAGATTCTACAAACATTGACACCATGTCAAGATTCTACAGATATAGAGACAACAAGTCGCCTATTCACATTATTCCATCACTTGTACATTCTTGGCGCCTGTCCACCACAAACTTGTTGAATATTTGTATCATAGTCCTAAGTTATTAGAATGGACACCCATCAGCCCACATCACATGTTGAATACTTGTATCATAGTCTTAAGTTATTAGAATGGATGAGTTTACTCTGTTAGTGTGCTAACATCGTCTAGCTAATTATTCTACATGTTCAATCCAGCAGTATTAACTTTTCAGACGAATTCATTCTAAATACCCCCCCCCCCTCAAACTGGCAAAGTTAATTTATACTTTTGAAAATTGAGCTGCCTTACTCAATTATAGATTTTATTGTAATCATTCTTGTGGATCAATTGTGATGCTCCATTATAAATATGTACGCTAGTGTAAATATGCTGAATTTTGATGGATGTGAAATGTATTAAAATAAAAAAAAAATTTTTTGTTGCATGCTAATAATTTCAACTAGCATTTCAAAAAATGGACCTAGTTGGTGTAAGGATGTGTTGTATTAATACCTGAAGTAAAGATGTTTAGTACGAGTTGGGGAACTTATAGTTGGTGTAAAGGTGTATGATAATTGCTAGTTGGTGTAAAGACTTGTAGTACCAATAGCTGGTGTAAAAATGTTGGTATGGGACTAGAAATTCTAGTTGTAAAGATCTGAGACACATCTAGCTGGCGTAAAGATGTTTAAAACCACCAGTTCGTGTAAAGGGTGACTAGAAAGACACCCAATGGAAAACCGCATAAAAAAAGTGCTCAAGAGAATTATAGTTATCTTAAATCGAGCATATATAGACATTTGAGTGTGTATTAATGACTAACCTTTTCTTGTTAACTCTGATCTTAATATCCTAATATATAAATCCCCACGTTCGCACATCTCTCTCTCTCTCTCTCTCTGTCTGTCCGCAAAATATTTTCGCCGGACATCACGTCAGAATCGGCAGCGATATACGAAGAACTTTTTACGGACTTTTGTTGAAAATAATATGTTAGATGTTTTAAATGTATAACCACAATTTTAGTTAAAGAAGAAAAATAAAAATTAAAGGCGTATTCGAATGTAGAGAAACAGTATTATTTATGCAACCGGAAAAGCATTAATATATGTGAAAAAGAACGCATAAAACTGTGACGTCACTATTGCTTATACATTAACTAATGACGTCATCTGCCGTGTTTAGAATGAAAAGAAATGAACTATTTCATTCAAATTTGATTTAGATCTACGTACACTATGAAATGTATACAATCCATTTTTTCCGGCCTAAACTCATAAAATTTATTTTATTTATTTGGATTCTAGATCTAGATATTCTAGATTCATCTATTCAAATAATACATTTCTATACTAAAGTATTTCAGGCCTTAATTACTTTATTGAAATCTTTGTTTATCTATGCAATTTGCTAATCTCTATAATATATAAAGCAAAGTTGTCGGGTGTCCGATAGGGCACTTCCCGGCGCCGCAGGCGCTTCAAATTTGGCAGGATCTTGCCTTGGGGCGACAGAACACGAGGGCCGGTTGGCCGAAAAGTCTACGATGAGGGGGTCAAAACTGACCTCGACTGACCGGCGCCTTATATGAGCTATAAATCGAAAAAAATTTGCCCACGTAGGAACCTTTTCATAACTCCTGAGGTCGTAGACCGACCCTCGGGCGAATTAATTAAGCATTCAAATTCTCAATGTTTTCGAAAGCCTAAGCGAAGCTGGGCAGCATGCCTAGTAATGAAAGATTACAAAACCAGCTCAAAATATCATGGCTATTTATTGTGACTACAGTTAAAAACAACAAAAAGTTGAAGCAAGCATTGAATGTACAAGGTGACAGAAAGTGGTAGAAAGTTAGAAAATATGGCTTTTGATGGATGAACACTGATGGTACTTACAATGGAAATGTCAAACAAAACTGTACATAAAATAAAACCTATGGACAGCATTAAAAATGAGGATATATATTTAACAAAGATAAAAATTAATTTTCAAGTTGTGTTGTATTTAAAAAAAAACATCCTGATGAGAATCTATTGATGAATTCTACTTTTAAGCATAAAAATCTGGTGAAAAAACTTCATAGTGTAAATAGAACACTATTAACATCACATATAATTTCATGGTCCAACCCTCAGTGCAGCAGTTAATCTTGTTAAAAATCATTGTTTTTTTTTTCAATATTTACATGATCTAGTTAAAAAACAATCCTGGTAAAATAGATTATATACACATAAAAGCCAATCTCAACAATGCATGTATAAAAAAAGAAATAAATACATTCTTGTACACTTTTTGTAAATAATGGTTGGAGAAGGCAGCAGTACATTTGTTACGTTAGCAGCAGTTTTTTTTTTATTTCTTCAACCTTTTCCTTTGTTGGTTAGAAATGTCATTCTCCTTGTCAATACTTGAGGTAGAGCTGAGAGATTTATGATTCTGTAGCTGGACATGCCTCGTTACCATGGAAACCCCATCCACAAATTTGGTGCGGAAAAGGACATTTGCATTGTTGAACATGCCATCTTTGAGTGAGACCACAATGAACTAGAAATGTTGGACAAAAAAATAGCTAGGTAGACAAAATATTTTGTTGAGATTCAGGCTTCTATTTGAACTCACATGTAAACAATCAGTTATAGACAAAAGGTTAGATATTTGTATCACGATTTCTTTGGTCGAGAGTGATGCATGAGTTTGAAAATTCTTTTGCTCAACCACCACTCTTCTAATACCCCTTTCAAACCTTATGGTCCATAGGTGAAGTAGAGTTTACCCGTTTCAGTAATGTTGGTATATGAAGGGAAGTACTATGCCCAGTGACATCTTACTGACACAAACCCAAAATTGGAACTAGAGACTTTCAGATTAGCAGCCGTATGCCCTACGATCAGACCACACCATCCCATACCAGCCACCATCAACCAACCAAAAAGTTACCTGTGAATGCTTGAAGTGTGACTTGACCATCCCATACCAGCCACCATCAACCAACCAAAAAGTTACCTGTGAATGCTTGAAGTGTGACTTGATCATCTGTCCAATGTTCTGTGTGTGGGAGAGATCTAAGGCAGCATCTACTTCATCCAGGATGTAGATTGGCGCAGGTTTAAACAACAGCATGGCCAGAATCAAAGAGAGGGCCACCAGGGATCTGAAGAGTTGAACAAAGGTCTCAGTTATTGCCAGATAAAGTTAGGGGGACAAGAGTTGAACAAAGGACTCAGTTACTGCCAGATAAAGTTAGGGGGACAAGAGTTGAACAAAGGTCTCAGTTATTGCCAGATAAAGTTAGGGAAACAAGAGTTGAACAAAGGTCTGTGTGAAGAAATGTTAAAGAGTTGTAACTGCTTATAACATTTCCTTGAGAAAAAACAACACACCAGACTTATGGTTAAGCTGCTAGATGAGGAGGAACTTTGTGTCACCCTTTAAGTAGATTGGCAGGTGACAACATGTAATGATAGAAGTGGTGGGATACAATTTTTTACTGAAGTTACATAGTCTCATTTAGAGCCAAATTCTTGTAAGGAACTAATACTATCACAATCAACACAGCACTACAGAAATCTTACCTTTGACCTCCACTTAGTTCACCTAAAGATTCTTTCCACACAGCCCCAAATCCAACCTTGACCTCTAACCCATCAAGCACAGTTTGACCTTCAGGTGGACACAGCTTGGCTTGAGTACCAGGCAGGAGTGTTGAGAAGATGGAACCAAAGTCCTAGAAAATAAACAGGTGAGATAAATTTAGTGCAAAAAAAAAAAAAAGATGTTTAAAAAAGACTGGTGATAAAAACACTGACACAAGAAACAAGCTCTGAGTAGTATTGATTTTTAAGGTAAGCATGTTAACAACTTGAAAACATACCTTATTGACTTGTTCCCATGCCTTGATTAATGCAGCTTTCTTCTTCTTGTCTAACTCTTCTATTACGGAGGCTATCTTTGCCTTGTCATTCAGCACAACTTTCCTTTTCTTCATTAAATCTGCATACTGAAACAGCCAATAACAAAAACCTTAACAAATCAAAGAATTAACTGATAAAAAAGGAAACTAATTTGTTGTACACAAAAAGACTGTCATTCAGCCTCTAGACAACACCATATCAGCCTTGTATTGAGGTTTGATGACATGAGCTGTATTGCGACAGAGAACAAATCTACTCACCTGCTCATCAGCATGCCCCAGTAGGTTCATGGCTCTAACATTGACACTTTTAGAGAGCTTGTTCTTGGTTTCCGTTAGTTTCTGGATCCTTTTTTCAGCCTCTTTTGGATCTTGAGCAGCAAAATCATAGACCGTGTTTGGTTGGCCAAAAAACTTTCTCTCATCCACAATCCAATCGTATTTTTCTAACAGTGTCTCTACCTAATTAAAAATAACGCAAGAGGCCAACAATAATTTTGAAACATGAACTCAAGAAATGTTGTTTTTAAGTTTAAGTAAGTTAAGAATGTAACATACATATTTGCTGGCATCTTTAGAATCTTTTTGAAACTTTGTGATTTTGTGCTCCAGTTCCTGAATCTTCAGCCCACATTCATTACTTTCTTTGTTTAAGTCCTTCTTCTCTGCTTCCTTTTGAGCAATGTCTTTGTTGTACAACTTGAGAGTTTCCTTGTGTTTATTGAGGGCATCCTGAGCTTGTTGAACCTCAACCTAAAATTGGTGATAACGCCACTTATATCCTTAGACATTTTAATACTACATTAAAGTGACTTAATGACATTGAATACTGCAAGAAACAGCTAAAGTTTTACAAAACAGAAATAAAATTGGTCACTAAAATTGAAAAGTTACAGTGATTGTATGTTGAATGTCAATGAAGAAGGAAAAACAAAAAAATCATATACAAGCTAAAACAAAAAGTTGTATTTGTATTACCATAGCAGCTTCCCTCTCAGTTTCTATATCCTTTAGATGCTCACCAATGGCTACAATAGAGTCAGCTATTTGCTTCATCTGCTCCTCATATGACTGCATTTCTTTCTGGAGACTTTCAATCTCAAGTTTGATGTTCTCATTTTCCTAGAAGTGAGCAAGTTTTAGTAACAAGTAAAAAATTGTTTATCAACAACACTGAACCTATGAGTATACCCCCCCCCCTCCATACATACAATTGTACCTACGTGTAGATCACACACACCTCATACATACAGCTGGACCTACCTGTAGATAACACACCCCCATACATACAGCTGGACCTACCTGTAGATCATACAGCTGGACCTACCTGTAGATCATCCTTAGCCTTGGCCGCTGCCTTCTCCATCAATTTCTTGCAGTCTGTGACCCGCTTGTCTGCTTCTTTCAGCTCCTTCTCCCTGACAGCCGAGGCGTTCTTTAATTTATCCTCCAAGTCCTTGACCTTCTGGTGAGCCTTCTTTTGAATTTCTTCGGCTTCTTTCAGGATTTTGTTTTGCTCATCTGTTTGATGAGTTCATAATAAAATAACAAGCTGCACAATGCAATCATTTTAACTTGTGCAAAATAAACTTATGGATTATAGTGTTTTCCTAAACTTAATCACTAGAGCTAAGATATAACCACATTTGACCCTTACTATCACATACAACCAAGTTGAACTAAACCTTTACTTGGCTACCATCCCACTGACCCAACTTACCAACTGAAGCTTTACTTGTCTACCATTGCATTGACCCAAGTGAAACTTTACTTTCCTATCATCCCATTGACCCAAGTGAAACTTTACTTTCCCATCATCCCATTGACCCAACTGAAACTATACCTGCCTACCATCCCACTGACCCAACTTACCAACTAAAACTTTACCTGCCTACCAGCCCACTGACCCAACTTACCAACTAAAACTTTACCTGCCTACCAAACGACTGACCCAAGTGAAACTTTACCTGCCTACCAAACGACTGACCCAAGTGAAACTTTACCTGCCTACCAAACGACTGACCCAAGTGAAACTTTACCTGCCTACCATCCCACTGACCCAACTTACCAACTAAAACTTTACCTGCCTACCAAACGACTGACCCAAGTGAAACTTTACCTGCCTACCAAACGACTGACCCAAGTGAAACTTTACCTGCCTACCATCCCATTGACCCAACTGTAACTTTACCTGCCCACCAACCCATTGACCCAACTGTAACTTTACCTGCCCACCAACCCATTGACCCAACTTACCAACTGAAGCTTTCAGGGCGTTGACCTCCTCCAGCTGCTGGTGATGACTGCTCTGTTCCAGCCGTGTCCTCAGCTGTTCCACCTCCAGCACCTTCAGGTCATACTGCTGTTTGGCTTCAGTGTACCTAAAGGAAGATAGCATCTAGCTATTTGCACATACTGGAGCTAACTCAACAGCACAGAACTAAAAGAGGATGTAGCTAGCATAGCAGATTGGCAACTTCAATATACTTTTGTCATTATATTTATCAGCCAGTTTAATTTAACATTCAAAAGACTTGTTTAAGTCAAATGTGTAAACATAAACATGTTTGGAATTGAGTGGTGCACATCACTACTGATAAACATAATAAATATATTTAATAAAAACTTACTCTTACATTTTTTACTATCATTGGAAAAATAAACATTGGAAAAATAAACTTTGGAAATAAACTTTGGCAACTAGTTCCTGTTCCAGTTTGTGTAGCCTCTGGGACTAAAGTTTTAACACAACTGACACAAGAAACTTACTTGACAGCAACCTTCTTCAAGGCCACTAGTTCCTGCTCCAGTTTGTGTAGCCTCTGGGACTAAAGTTTTAACACAACTGACACAAGAAACTTACTTGACAGCAACCTTCTTCAAGGCCACTAGTTCCTGCTCCAGTTTGTGTAGCCTCTGGGACTTGACAGCAAACTCTGCCTCAGCTTGACGCAGTTCACTCAACATTGCTAAAACTGACGCTGATTTCGCACGAGCACCTAAAACAGGTTTCACAAGCCATTTACTTCCATGTAGTTAAAAACTAGGCAGGGAGTACGTTCTTTAAGGACTATTAATAGAACAGTATGTGATCAAAGAAGGTGCAGCACATAAAAATATCCAGGGAATAAAATTAATTATAATTAACAGTTTAAAAGCTACAAGTGCATGAAACACAACAAGCAATTAAGTTTGTGTCAAACAACAAATTTCGTGTAAAGCTAAATATGTGTAAAATAAATTACCTCCAGAAAGTGTACCAGCAGGATCTACAGTATCTCCTTCAATGGTGACACACTTTTTCATGATCTTAGGGTCATATGCTACTCTACTGGCACTATCCATATCAGCGCAGACAAACACAGACCCAAAAGCAAACTCCATGATAGACTGGTACTTCTTATCATAAGATATAAGGCTCAAAGCTGTCTTTACCTTATCCTTACCAACCTATATACATTTATAGAAAGGGACACAACCTGTTTAATATTTTAAGGATAAGGGACACAACCTGTTCAACATTTTAATAATGATAATTTAATAAGTGGTTAATTTGTCAAAAAATTAATATACAAGCTTAGGTATAGTAAGAAATATTTTGAAATTCAAAACCACTAATTGAAACGCAGAAATACTTCATTCAGACTTGAAACCATAGCAATATATCATACGATCATTAAATGTATGGTGAGGGATTTATTTCACTTAATTGTAACTTCTTAGAGACTAACACTAATCATTAGCAACAATGCAGTGTGATTGCAGGAAAGAGTGCCCAAGAAAGATTACAAGTGCACCATCTAAAGTTGAGAGAACAAACAAGTTTTATACATTTAAATTACACCAACAAAATTTGACAAATTGCTTTTCAGCTGCACAGTCCATAAACCAATTGTTCAACAACTTAATAAAAAACAAATGATGAATACTATTGGACTAGCACGAACTTACCAAAGCCTCAGCTCTTTTCAGTGTGGCGTCATCTATAGATCTGCTGGTGATTTTGTTGATTGGAAGAATTGTGCAGCGTCTCTTGAGTTCTCCAAACTTGAGCAGCTTTTTACCGGTCAGCTCATTGTCCACAACAACATTATATAACTGAAAATAAAATCATGCACACAAATTTAAAACCTGTCATTATCTTGCTCAAATCTAGACATGTATCAGGACAAAGATCACTACCTTAGCTCCTGCTGTAACCTCCAAAGCTGTAGAGTAAAGATTGTCCTTGACATCAAAGAGTTTACACACCAGGCCAGATACTTTGCTCCGATCAAAATTTTTTTCAGGGTCTTTGTAATCAAATCTCAAGTGAGGATACCTGGAAAATATGTGATCCATTTAATCCATACCAACAGTTACTTCATGTTAGTATCTTGTAATTACCTGTTATTTCTTTATAAAAATAATTTGTTGTAACTATATCTTGTAAAATAACAATGCAAAAATAAAACTGTAGATGAGTATTTGACAAGTTAGAAAGATGACAAAGTTAAAGACATTGGCTCTAACCTGGCCTCAAGGATAGATATCTTATCCTTCAGCTGATCAACCTCTCCTACCAGTGTTGATTTTTCTGCTGACATTTTTGCTTCAGATCCTTCATCATAGCCACATTTTTTCATATCATCCTGAAATTCACAAAATCTTTTGCTATTAATCATTAATAACAATGTAAGCTAAAGAAACTTTCAGCAGAAAACTTTAAAAGTTCTGACCTCAAGCTTTGTAAGATTCTTTTTGACAGCCTCATAAGTTGATTGGTTCTTTTTATAATCTAGATCTGTTTTCTTAAGTTCTTTCTCTTTGGTCTGAATCTCTTCTTGAGCATGCTTTAACCTTAGAAGTAGAAAAAATAACTTTAAATGAGAAAAATACTCAAAATAATAATTGGTGTACTGCCAGTTGCATAAATCTTGGATAATAAAATTAAAACAATAAAAACTGCCACATCAAGATAAAACACCATAAAATACTAAATCTCATTTGATTACAATGTCCTAACTCCTTTAATTACTAGACTCATGCCATAGCTCTTTTGATTGTAGGCCTATAGGTCATATCCTAGCTATATATATGCCATGCCCTAGATTATTTAATTTTAAGAGAGACATGTCCTAACTTCTTTGATTAAAGAAGTCATGTCCTAGCTCATTTGATTACAGGAGTCATGTCTTACCTCATCTGAGCTTGCCTGGTGTCAGCCACAGCTTTACTGATGTCACTTCTGGCAGCTGTAGGGGAGCAAAACAAATGTATCAAGTGGGGAAAAAAGATCACACTCATAATTCTTTAAATAATCACTAGAAGATTTTGCCAGGAAGAGCTTAAAATAGGCTCTAGCACATGTACACATCAACATTGGTTACAAAACTTAAGAAATACTAGTTAAAATCCTGAAGTAGACACACCCACCAAAAATCCAATTAATTACTGCACAAAAATTACTGAAGCTACTAAGAATTAAAACAACTCACTTATCAGCTGATCATTAAGGGAAGCTGCACCTCCATCATCATTTGAAGACAGCCCAGCACTAACTGCCTGAAAATGCTTTTTGGCAGCCTCGTATTCACTTTCAGCATTAATTTTCTCAGTTCTCATCTTCTCCACATTGGCAGCAATTTTCTGCAAGTCCTTTTCCCTACTAGCTATTGATGCCTTGTTCTGCAAAATAAAATGAAAAATATTTTAACAAAGGTCTTATTTATTCCAACATGTTTACTTTCTGTTCGTTTTAAATAATGCACTTACGTCTGCAATATTTTTAGATATTTCTTTCTGTCTTTTCTGTTCTGATTTTAGAGCTTCTTTTTTTGCATTAATGGCTCCCTCAACTTTGACCTGTAAAGATTTCTTCTCCCCAAGCTCAGCCTCAAGTTTTCCCACTACATTGCCTGATTCCTGTGGGTTAGAGGAGAAAAGGAATAAATACAGCAAATTAGCCATAAAATACTTGAAAAATTAGAATTGTATTCAAAAAGCCATAAATTCTCAGCAACAATTACCTTGTTTCTCTTCTTCTCTAATTCTTCTATCGCTACATCTATTTCAGATATGCTGGTCTTGATCTGAAATATAAAAAAATGTCACTACTATGGGCTTTCTCTCAATGGGTTGTTATAACATTTTTTTTTTTACAATACTAACGATTGCTTACATAGGCATAATTTTAAAAATGGTAAAGCATGTTATCACTACAAAGGTTAAAACATTCCCATTATTAACCAATAACTAATTTAAACTCATTTATATGGAAGAAAAATAAATTTTAAAACACCTCTTCCATTCTGCCATTAGTCTTTGTTATAGAATCCTGCATCTCTACTAATTCAGAAGCAGATTTCTTTTTCTTTTCCTATATAAAAAGTTAGGAAAAACCTTTAGATTAAGAATAAATCATACATTTCATTTTCATTGTGTATCAGTAAAACATTATAACACAGATGGTTGTAGAACTACATTCCACTTCATGTTGAAACTATACTGACAGCAAAATATGTCAGTACAGGAGAACTTATAAAAACATCAGCATCAGTAACCATCTGCGTTATTTATTTTAAGCTGGCCTACATTATTTTTAATTAAATTTTCATAGTAAAGATTTGAGAAAAATAATTTGAAAAACAAAAATTTCAACTTACTTCAGCACTGACAAATTGATAAGCTATATAGAGTTTGTTGAGATGCTCAAGTTCCCGAATAATTTTTTGATATTCAAGATAAGATGATCTCTCTTCACGAAGCTTAGTAAGAGTTGGAGTAATGTCCTCATTCAGAACCTGTACTCAAATACAATAGGAATATTTTAAAATAATCATTAAAAAAATTGTCTTTTTGATATGCTAATTAATCTAATTGTCATACAAAACATACATTATCAATTTCTCTAAGTTTTGCATCTTTCTTTTCTATTGTTCTTTGTGCTGCCTCTTTTTTTGTTTCATATAACCTTGTACCAGCAGCTTCTTCTATCATTGAAAGAATCTGAAGAAGAAAAAAAAAAACAATTCAAAAAAATAAATTCACACAAACCATGCATACTATAAAATTAATTCATCGTAAGACGTAATGAACTTAACCTCAGGTGGTTTCATGTTCAAGACTTTGGTAATACGCCCTTGCATGATGAGAAAGTGAGGGTTGTTTACATTCAGCTGCACAGATCGGAAAAGATCCTGCACTCTCATGTTGTTGGCATTGCTTCCATTGATCAGGTATTTATTCCGGCCACCAATAACAACCTAGGATATCAAAACAGGTATTATTTAAAACATTTAGGGTGGTAATTAGGAAGTAGGAAAGAATAAATTAAACTTTGAAGTCAGCTGACCTGTCTAGTGACTGTGATTTCATCGTACTGTTCATAGCCAAGAGGTGTTTGATTCTTATCTTGATTGTCAAAGGTGATGCTGACTGTAGCTTTAGTCACACCTGCCTGGCCACTCTTGTACACCAAGTCTTGAAGACTTCCTGCTCTCACCTGGGACATTTTTCATGTTAGATATAAATATAAAACATTCACTCTATAGGCCTAATAAAAAACTTCATTATTAATAATGAAGCTCCTTTTGTTATTTCAATGGTTACACATTGAATTTGAATGTGTGAGCACAGTCAATACATGAATACAGCTCTAGGTATAAGTTCCCCGGACAATTAGGCCTAATCATCAAAACAACACACAAAACTATTCAATTAGGCTACATTTCCCCATGCTAATTCATGTGAATTTTCAACTAACACAGTTAGCTTTTTGAAACAACATGAAGCATTGGACCTCTCACCGCAGCACTGGGGAAAATGTTTAAAAAGTTAAAAGAAACACGAAAGGAAAGAGGAATAAACGCATATTCTTAACTAAGTGACTACTCGGCACTCGGAAGAGGATTTTTCTCCCCGTCTCCACTTAGTCGGCAAAAGATAGCTCTGTGCATGCGCAGTGACCTATGGCTAGGGTTAGAATGGGGCTTAGGGGTAGGATTAGGGATAGGATTAGGGATAAGATTAGGGTTGGTGTTAGTAGGGATTTTGGTAAAAAAACACTAATCATCATATAAAAATAAAAATTACATATTCTTGTAGAGCTCAACTATATGAAAACAAAACAAAAAAGATTTTCTGTCTAGCTCAAATAGTTTTTTTTTTTGCGAATTTTTTTGTGAGGGGTGGAATGCCCTTACTTTTGCATTGGCCAATTGTGACAAGTCATGGTATACCTGAATAAATTGAGCATAGTTATTTTACTTGCAGTTGTATTTTGTTCATATTTGTAGAGTTTAGCTAGAATGATATATAGAACTTGTATATGCTGTTGAAATGAATAAAAATAATACAGAAGCATATTTTTGTGTTGGCTTCCTTCCATAACCCCAAAAAAACTGTGCTGCGCAAATATGAACATGTTTCTAAAGCAATGTTTTACAGTGAATGAAAGAACTACATAGTTAGCAATCTAAAGTAAATGACTTGAACACTGTAATGTGCATAGGGGCCTATAACTGCCCCATTATTTTGGGCAGGTGAAGTAGAGTCCATCTTTAAGCCATTTTGTTATAAAACTGTGCTGCGCAAATATGAAAATGTTTCTAAAGCAATGCTTTATATAAATACAGTGAATGAAAGAACTACATAGTTAGCAATCTAAAGTAAATGACTTGAACACTGTAATGTGCATATAATTGCCTTATTATTTTGGGCAGGTGAAGTAGAGTCCATCTTTAAGCCATTTTGTTAAAAGTGAACTGAAGTTATCTGATTAATGTTTTTATGTGTGTATTGTGTATGAATTCTGATTTTCAGCATATAAATATAACTATAAGTAAGGGTAAGTAGAACTTGAAAACTTAAAATTACAGTTAGCACATAGCTAGTGTAGTGTATTCTAGCAACAGACAGGTAACCTATGTCTGACTCAGCAAAATTTTACTTAAGCAAAACTAGAACCATAGTTGAAAAAATGAAAGACAGGTATATTAAAATATTTTTAAAACAACAAGTAGGAGATTTGTTTGTACATTACATAAGAATACTGTTGTTAGTGTATCAAAACTAAAAGCCGGCAGATTGGGATGAAGAAATATAACATTGGCGTCAATGGGGGCACCGTGACCTACTTACGGTGACTACTTTCAAATGAGTATTTACTAATGTCAAAGTCGAAATATCCAAAAATAAATATCATTTCTATAAAAATGGGATGTATCTGCTTTGGAAACTTTCATTATCTAAATGGAAACTTTTCAAAAATCGCGTTTTTAACGCATTTGAAGTTAACCTTTATACAGCGGTAAGACCAAAGCAGAGACAGCATGCAATAAGATCGCTAAGCCATCAAAACAACTGGAAAACCATTCTACTTTTCATTTAACATTAGGAAATGACCTTTTAAACTTAATTAATTACCATAAATTAAAAACTTATTAGTATGCAAAACCAAATCTCGTGCGCCCGGTATCAGAAAGTAATGGGAGATTTCGGGTCATGTTTTTACCGCGATCTCGGCCGATACCGACAACCCTAGTGTTAGGGATCTGCGGTTGTAAACACACGCATTCGCAGTACCATCAAAAACATCCCCGCAAAGGCAAGTCGTAGTTTCTCTCCATTGCGCATGCGTATCTTATTCTGGCTAGCATCATCAAGGCCTATTCTAAAAGACCAAAGTTAGGCCTAAATAAATAAAACTTAAAACACACGCATGTCACAATAGTTTAAAATTAGTTTTTGCCTTGTGTTAGTTTTTCAATAAGCAAAAGCTCTTTTATTTAATTAAGTAAAAACGTAAGTAAAGAGTAGATGTAGAGGAGTTTACACTTTTCGGACACACACCAAAAATTACGTAGGACCGAACACTTCGTCGGTTTTTGGCTCATAGAAACTTTAATTAGCATGTCTCACGCGAAACCACGGCGCCTGCACGTAAACTGTTCATTTATGAACACTTCCGTGTCAAGTACTTCCGTTTCCTTTCTCAAGAATTATTTTTAGAAATTTTTTAACGTTGCATGGTACGCACATTTCTATTTTTACACCAGCCGGATGAAGTGACCTAGGGTTGGACTTAGGGGCAAAACTTGAACCAATCAATGCTTAGCTAAAAGGTTACACTATAAATAGCTTCTATATATGTATGGAACATCGTAAATGTCAAGGTTAATGGGTTTTTTTGTGCTTGAACAATAAAAAAGGGGTGTTCGCTAACTTATTTGACCTTACATGGGATCGGACAGCAACACAAAAATATTATTAAATAAGAATTTAGAGCATAAAAGGGGCTGATTATTGAAGGGAAAGGGTCAAAATAAGGTCAAGAAGGCAGTGGAATGCGAAAGAGGAGGGGGAATCATGTGACCTGGCTGGCTTAGCAGCGTACTGCGCGAGCCGCAATGGCTGAATGGGATGAACTTTGGGAGTGTGGGAAAAAGGTTTTATACTATTAAAATTACCTCACAAACAATCAATAACACAATATAAATGCATATAATATATGTTTTTATTCATTAAATTGACTTTAAATTATTCTAAATGAACAAAAAGTGCTATGTCCGATGACGGGTAAAGGTGTCCGAACACATGTAAAACTGTATTACATGTGTTCGAACACACGTTAAGACCCCCCAGTCACTATAACAAGAATAGCTTAAGTTCTATGCGTATGAATACAAAATGACACACACATTATTAAAGTAGAATGGTTGCGGATAGATATGATACTTTTTTTTGTTTTCTATGTTAAGCGGTTACTGAATGAGACCGCATGGAATTTTTACGTTGCGTTTTTTCGCTATGTGTGTCCGAAAAGTGTAAGCTCCTCTAGAGCAAATTACATTGTCCGAACACTACATGGGACCGAACACTTCGTCGGTTTTTGGCTCATAGAAACTTTAATTAGCATGTCTCATGCGAAACAACGGCGCCTGCACGTAAACTGTTCATTTATGAACACTTCCGTGTCAAGTACTTCCGTTTCCTCTCTCAAGAATTATTTTTAGAAAATTTTTAACGTTGCATGGTACGCACATTTCTATTTTTACACCAGCCGGATGAAGTGACCTAGGGTTGGACTTAGGGGCAAAACTTGAACCAATCAACGCTTAGCTAAAAGGTTACACTATAAATAGCTTCTATATATGTATGGAACATCGTAAATGTCAAGGTTAATGGGTTATTTTGTGCTTGAACAATAAAAAAGGGGTGTTCGCTAACTTTTTTGACCTTACATGGGACCGGACAGCAACACAAAAATATTATTAAATAAGAATTTAGAGCATAAAAGGGGCTGGTTATTGAAGGGAAAGGGTCAAAATAAGGTCAAGAATGCAGTGGAATGCGAAAGAGGAGGGGGAATCATGTGACCTGGCTGGCTTAGCAGCGTACTGCGCGAGCCGCAATGGCTGAATGGGATGAACTTTGGGAGTGTGGGAAAAAGGTTTTATACTATTAAAATTACCTCACAAACAATCAATAACACAATATAAATGCATATAATATATGTTTTTATTCATTAAATTGACTTTAAATTATTCTAAATGAACAAAAAGTGCTTTGTCCGATGACGGGTAAAGGTGTCCGAACACATTTGAAATTGTATTACATGTGTCCGAACACATGTTAAGACCCCCCAGTCACTATAACAAGAATAGCTAAAGTTCTATGCGTATGAATACAAAATGGTAAAATCACGATATAGCGTCGGTTATTATTCCGGAACTGTACAGCAGTAAAAAACAGTAAAACCATGGCGTAGTCTGTCGAGCCGTTCCGGAAACCACCGGAAATACTGTAAACCATCATTTATTTGCCGCCATATTATTTTTAATACCTAATGTTTAAAAATGTACAAGGATTGATTTTAGTTGCATTTTAAATACTGTTTTGCTAATTATTTTGTATTTCTAATTATTTTAAGTGTATGTGCTAATTATTGCTGCTACTAAACATCATTCTAGTTATTCTTACTACTTTTAACTTTAGTTAATCTAATCGTCTTATTTACTAACAGAACAAGAGCTGGTTGTCGCAAATCTTCTGCAGGTTTTTTCTGTTTCTTAAAAAAAAATTAATTACTACACTCGAGTTTATTAATAATATTTAGATTTTCTATCTGTTATTAATTTTATGTCAATTAAACGGTAAATTAAGTTAAAACATTAATTTAATGCACTTGACTTTATTTTTATTTCACCGGTCAAATAAACTATGGTTTACAGTAACGAATGTTACCGAAACTCAACGAACATTACCCAATAATTTCCGACGCTATATCGTGATTTTACCTACAAAATGACACACACATTATTAAAGTAGAATGATTGCGGATAGATATGATACTTTTTTTTCCTTCCTATGTTAAGCGGTTACTGAATGAGACCGCATGGAAGTTTTAAGTTGCGTTTTTTCGCGGGTGTGTGTCCGGACAGTGTAATTTGCTCTAGATCTAAAAATGAGTAGACTCTAGTCAAAAGGTTTTGTTTTGAAGAAATAAAAAAAAAACACCTGCGACAAATTTGAAATTCCCAGAAGGAAGCAAATAGAATCAAGTATATTTGACTTTCCACTTCCATTTAAACCAGTTATTGCATTAAAAAGTGGATCAAATCCATTAATTTCTGTTCTCTGTGCATACGACTTAAAGCCATCGATAACAATTGATTTAATGTGCATCTTTAATGTGATTAATGCATTGACAGTTGTTGGCTTAGAAAGTTTTACACTTGAAAAAGGCGCTTTGTTGTAAACTTCCGGTTTCCTTTAAGGTCACCCTAAAACCTAAAAATTGAATAAATAGTTGAAAGTAGGCCATATTTTAAATTAATGTCTCTGAGCTTAGGCCTACGTTAAAAAAAAAAACAGCAGAAAACTTCGAATGAGAAATAATTTGATTTATAAGATACTAGCCGTCCCGGCCAGGCCCTGCTCTGGCTTCTGTGAAAAACCATTCTGTTAAAGACCATTACCTGTGTGTTTAGTAATCATCATAAACCCGGCATTGCCCACCCAAACCACAACCAACCAAAACAACAAAACGCAAACATAACGCTAACACAATTACAAATACAAACGAAAACAAAAACCTAACAACAAACCCAACCACAACCACAAACACCAATACAAACACAAAGAAAAAACAAACAAAAAACAAACGAAAACAAAAACCTAACAACAAACCCAACCACAAACACCAATACCAACAAAAAAAAAAAAAAAACAACGAAAAAGCAAACGAAAACAAACCAAATCCAAACGCAAAACCAACCAAAAACACAAATACAAACCCAAACAAAAAAACACAAACAAAAACGAAAAAAGAAAGAACAAAAACGAACCAAATCAAAACGCAACCACTAACGCAAACCCACCTAAACACAAAGAAAACACTAACGCGAAAATAAACGCCCGGGGCGGAATCACCTGTTTTAGCTTAATGAACGACTATAGTACCCCAACTTATTCATAGTCTTTTGCACTCACTAAACTAACACGCCTGTTTCAATTTGATGAACAATTATAATACTCCAAGCTTATCCGTAAAATACCTACAACATTTGCACTTGATCAATCCCCGCTAATTATGTAATTATTTTTTTTTCCCAACACCAAAACAAAGTAATTAAAAAGTAAATTCTTTTCCACAAAATGCAATGGTTTTATAAAGGGAAGTAATTGTGTTTTCCTAATTTATCAAAGGGAAGTAAGTGCTATAGGACTAAATAAAGACATAATTAGAATTGTTGTAAAAGATGATATTTTTTTAAAACTTGTGTTTAATGAACATGCCGACAATTATTACTATAATTTGAAAAATGAAAATTATTTCCCAACACTTTCAATAGTAATTTTTTAACTCAGAAATTTAGACAAATGCGCACGATAATTGTCTAACACTTAAATCCATCCAAGACCAACGACAAACATATGCGTTACATACAGAACTGAGCTTTATATATTAGATTCCGTCAAATTTGAGTAAATATGTTCAACATTATATTCACTGATAAATTTTGATAATAATTAGATCTAGGCCTAAAAAAAAAACATAATTTATTTTTTAAAAATTAACCTAACAATAGCTAAAATTCAGTTTAAAAATACGAGTTTAAATACAAAATTGTAACAGCACACATTGTTAACCTCCTCTTCGTTACACATCGTTACTTCCCTCTGTTGCTAATGTAGGAGTGAGTCGTCGTTTATGGAGAAAGGCGATTAGAAGCAGAGGCGTAGCGACTGAGGCAAACTTTCAAGTTAGCACGCAGTTTCTTCCAGGCATCTCTTCCGGGGGGCGAAGCCCCCCCCCCCCCCCGAAGGCAGCCTACCGCTCCCACCCCCCCCCCCCCGAAAAGTTCAAGTGCCCCCCGGAGAAAAAAGTCTGGAAGAAACACTGTTTGCACCCCCCCCCTCTCAATGTATGTATCGTTTATCAAGTTGGTAACCCCTTTCCCCCTCATTTTACTTTGGAAAGGTTGGGTTCGCATTTTACCAATCACTATCAGTAACTGTTTTTTTTTTTTGTGTGTAGAAATCAGTTATAACAGTATGCAAAGTCAAGTAGTTGTCTTTTCTTTTTTTAGAATGTGTATAATTCAGTGATGCAGCTAAGAATGAGCTTTAATTTTTTTTCTACCCCCCCCCCCCCCCCCCCCCCAGGGGCGGCCCTCCTTTAGCTACGCGCCTGATTAGAAACTGAAAACCCCGTTCTACACCGCTTGCGGCTATTAAAAAATATAATTTTTGTATGCTTGCGGGAATCGTCGATAGTTTGCTTAGGTTTATTTTATATCTTAAAAATGATGCTTTTCCGGTTTCATTTTCGTTTGTTTTTCTATCGAAAGTAAATAAGAGTGCATGGAGTGGCCGATTGACACTTTATGATATAGATTGTAGAATATAGACTAGATCTAGATCCTATCCCTGCCCCAGCAGAACGCGTCCCAGGGCTAGGTTAGCTGTAGATTTCAAGTACGAGGTAGGCAAAGAACAGAAGATCTTCTAGAGCTAGAAAGATTCAGAATTTCAGAATTATTGAATTAATTAATTACAAATTTTGAAATTAGGCCTAATTAATAACTAATTATAATAATTATTAAATTAAATCTAACCTAGACTAGATTCTAGGCCTACTCAAATATTGCTGAAAATTTGTGTCCATTAGAATTAGATCTAGAATCTAGATCTAGGCCTAGATTTAGAGAAAAATGATTAGCCTACTATACTATTAGATCTATATACTAAACTACTAAAAGTAAACAAGGCTAGAACAATGATTAGGCCCTAGCAAAATTAATTAGGCCTAGCAGCAATAATTATATTTTAATTATCAAAAACACTAAGTCATTAGTCATTAGCTAGGGCCTATAGAAAATTATTAGCAAAACTATTTAACATGCAATTAAAATAAATCTATCTAAATTTGGAATAGCTCTGCCTAATAAAATATGTGTTACAGTACTACTCAAAATTATTATAATGCACTATTTTAATTAATAATTAATGTTTTGATAAACAAATAGGTTTCCCCTTCAGTGTGTTTTATAATGTATACAGCCTAACAAGACGTTCTGTAACCTGGATGTTATAGGAATGGACCAGCCAGTGTCGGCAACACCATTTTGTTCAGGTGATGATGTCATTGCCAGAAAACTTGAGCTTACCTGTACTTCCACATCCAGAGGGGACTTGCATGATGTTTATGATGTAGATAATACCATCCAGTGGATTTTACTCAATGGATTCAAAATGGTACAACTACTTTGTTATTTGATTAGAAATCTTTTAGCAAGTATAATAGCCAGTTATGTCAGATGGTAGCAAGTATTATTTGTAGCCACAAACAGATGGTAGCAAGGATTATAGCCAGTAATGTTAGATGGTGGGATTAGGATGTGTGGGCAGGACTGGGTGACATACTATACAGTATATGATACCCATGCTAAATGTATGAATAAAATCTGCTTTGACACTAACATAATGTACATCTTTTGTAACACACTATCATACTCCTATCTAAGGATATCAACCTAGAGGTGGGTGGGAGTGAAACCAGACTTTAGACACAACACACTGAGACACCAAGCTAGATGCTGTACATCTGATTTACATAGTCGTTTTAAAAAAAGATATCAGGCTATATATAATGTTGTGATGTAATCTTTCAAATGTCCAGGTGGCGCTACAGTTCCCAGACAAGTTGCTGGTTGATGCACCAGGAGTTGTTGCCCTTATACAGAACAAAGTCAGTGATGTAACAGTGTTCATCTTAGGTGATACATCATACGGAAGGCGAGTTCCATCCATTTAAAACATTGCTTTCATATTAGTCAAGTTAAGTTACCTTTTAAAACCTGGTGCTTCTTGGGGCAAATGAAATAAAGTTCACCTGTTTCTGTGAGCTCAACATATGAAGGGAGAAAGTGGTCAGCTCTTTGCCCAGCCACCTTTACGTTCGCAAATGTGAATTAGGTCCCCATCAGAGCTGAGTGGATTAAGGGTCCTATAGACTCAAGCCCGGGATCTGAGCTCACGACTTTTGGTTAAGCTCTACCGCACGACCATATATAGTAACATATTAAAGCAGGATAAATTGTCGCTACTGTATTTATATTATTAGACACTTTTTTTATAGCAAATCGTTAAATCAAATGAACATTTTTTCTTTCTTGAACTTTTGGTAATGTTGCACACGTACGTTTTATTTTGTTTCCACAATAAAACTTTTTGAAAAACACTTTTTATTCCAATTGAAGTAAACTTATTACGAAAATAAGGATCTTATTATGAAATTCCTTTTTTATTTATTTTTTTACCATGTGTAAATGTTATGACAATGTTAGTATTGTCTCACTCCAATTCAGCTGCTGTGTAGATGAAGTTGGGGCCTTGCACTATAAAGCTGACTGTGTAATTCATTACGATCACGCTTGCTTGAGCCCCACTCAGCGTCTGCCTGTTTACTACGTTTATGGAAAGTCTAGCATTGATGTCGACAACTGTATCAACCAAATAAATGAAACATGTACAGATAGAACAATGAAAGTTGTGCTAGTCTTTGACACAGAATACCTGCATGTCACAGGTAAGTAGGAACTGGTCCAGTTCATTTTAGTCTACCTGTTTTTGAACACACACCCAGCCCATCACACACCCAGCCCAGCCCATCACACACCCAACCCCACACACCCAACCCCACACCCTCACTCACCTAACCCCACACCCTCACACACCCAGCCTCTCACACACCTAGCCCATTACACACCTAGCCCATCACACACCTAGCCTATCACACCCATCCCCACACCCAGCCTCTCACACACCTAGCCCATCACACCCAACCCCACACCCTCACACAACCAACCCCACACCCTCACACAACCAACCCCACACCCTCACTCACCCAACCCCAAAGCCTCACACACCCAGCCAATCATGCCACATCACATACATACAATTTTTCGTATTCTTTTAAGTACTTGTTTTTATTTAATGACCATTTCTGTTACATTAATATTTTTTACATAACTTTCCCATCCCTGTAAATGTAGATGAACTATTCAAGAGACTTCAGAACCATTTCTCCAGCATTATTCTTTCCAAGCAAGTGGATACTCACCATACTGAAACACACAACGCTTGCCTAAAACAGTCTCCATCCTTACCAACTGAAGACAATAAAAATCCTCTGATTTCACCGGACACATCTAAATCAGTTCTTTTTAAATGTGGGAGAAAATTTGAACTTCCGACAGATGAACAGATAGACAGCTATAGCATTTTATTTATTGGAGATACTCAAAGTCCAACTTTAACAAACTTGATGATGACTTTAAACAAATGCCCATTTTACTCCTACGACCCGGCCAAAAATATTTGCAGAAGAGAAAGTTTTCAGGTGAACAAAGCTCTGATGAAGCGCTACTATCTTATTGAGAGAGCTAAAGACGCCAGAATTGTGGGTCTGCTAGCGGGGACCCTGGGGGTGACAAGATACAAGGAGATGTTGGAGCAGCTAAAGTGTGTGCTGAGGAAGGCTGGTAAGAAAACATACACCTTTGTTGTTGGCAAGCTGAACCCAGCCAAGCTTGCCAACTTTGCTGAGGTGGATGTCTTTGTCCTGGTCTCTTGTCCAGAAAGTGTTCTGCTTGACCAGTCCGAGTTCTACCGTCCCATCGTGTCGCCTCTAGAGATGGACATAGCATGTAATCAAGCCAGAGAGTGGACAGGAAGTTACAGCACGGACTTCACGGAGTTGTTGCCAGGTTGGGTTGTTTATTCATATCATGCCATGTATACAACAAGTGCTTGTCCAGGATATTAACCCCTTGCCAGAACTCCCTGTCAACCCCCCCCCTGCCAATAACCCCCCTGTCATTATCCCCTACCATTACTCCATGCCAATACCCCCTCAGATCATACTCCTCATATGTTTAGGGTTAGGTTAATTGTTTAGACTTGGTTTAGGCTCCATTGACAATCAACAGCTGATTATCCACCTTATGGGTAGTGGGCACTATCATCATCATCTTCTACCATTTGTGTCGAAGACATAAAGGGAAAATTATATATTTTTAAATTTATTTGTTTTTATGACCTCAATGTATGGGGGATAGTGTGGTCAGCACTATGTTCACATGCTTTTGTTCAGCTGTCCATCATAGTTGGGTGGACTCAAGGATATCATACAGACTCTACCCAGGATCCGAACTCAGGAATTATGGGTTAATAATCGTCATCTCAACCATTCTACCATGCTGCCCCTGGTGGGCAAAATTCAGGGGGTTAATGTCCTGCCTCCGAAGTGTCAGATCTGTGGCTCAAAACTTTTCATTTTTTAAATATACTTTGTCAATGGCATAAAGATAAAAATATACATCTCCAACCATTTTACTGTTATAATTAAAGTTATATTCATTGTTAACGGAGTCTCTCTGGAAATGTGTTATGGACAGTTTCAGACATAGGTGGGGGTGGGGGGGGGTGGGGGGGTGGAGATGCACACTTAAAACTTCTGATTTTCTATTTAATTTTGCCTAGGGAGGGATGGTGTATTGCACATGGAGGAGGGGATGCAGTTCTAGAGATATGCCTGAAAGAAACACGTTCAGTTACTGATTTCTGTTTATCTTTCAGGTGGTGCCATGCATATAGAAGCACCAGACATTAGTGAGACTGATGAAGCCACCCCTGATGTGTCTCTTATAAGTAACAAAGTGAGGACCATTGGCATAAGAGACCAGCCGGACGTCAGCCAGAGCACCAGCACAGAGCTTTCATTGAGATCAGAGCAGATGAGTGTGGCCATAACTGCAGATGATGCCGGTAGACTTCAATTTTTTAAAATTTTATTTAAAAGAAATTAAATTATAAATTAGTCTGAAGAGTTTTGAAATTGTATGAAAAACATTTTGATCCAAGTTTTTTTTGTCCACCATCTTTGTTGCAGGAGAATACCTGGCCAGCAGAAGTTGGAAAGGGCTGGAACAAAAGTTAGGTGAAACTCCAGTGGTCAAGGCAACAGAAGGGCAGTATGGGATAGCTTCATATTACCAACATGAAGTTTCTAAATAAAGTTTTTAAAGGAGATTTATATGAGGCTTGTCTGGTTGTCATTGAATACAAAGGTTTGAAAAATGTGTTTGTGAGGGAGGTTGGTATATAATTTAAAAACTTGCAACTAAGTTGTGTAAACTGAATGTGATACTGGCTTTAGTTATCCTTATGCCATAGTGGTATCACAAAATTCACTTTCTGTCATATGTTGTATGGCAGTCCATTATGGTCAGATTATTGTTTTAATAAATATTATTTAAGGCTATGTTTAGATCCATCAACTAGCTTCAGTTTGAGAACATAAATTTCCTTTTATTAAAAAGGTAAATAAAAAATAATGTTTAAAATTTAAATTACATGGGTTTGTTATTAATTGATTTATATTAATTGTATAGCCTTTTATAAAGATTTTAAAACAATAATTTACAAAAGAAACACCATCAGAATGTATCAAAATAAAAGACTTTATTATTATGAAAAATAAATGTATAAAAACATCTACAACATTGGATTGAGAAATGTAAAAAAAAAAAAAACCAACTAATCGTGTTGAAAGTACATCCAGGTTTCCTGTCATATAAATTAGTCCCAGATCACCTTCTAGTTGTGTGCCAGACATCCAGCCATTCAAGACATTTCAAACTGCTTTCACACCCAGAGCAAACAAAGCATTATTATGGTCATGGCGAGGAACATTTCAATCAAATATTCATTAAAAGCTTCTCTTCCTTCAATACTTATTTTTTATTGTTTTGAGGATTTATTAAAAAAATAAAAATTATCCTAATGTTACAGGTAATTCTGTTATTGATTGAAAGGGATTTAATCAGTGTAATGAAGGGTTAAAAATAACTGCATAAGATGTTAAACACAAATATTTGTTTCTTGTTGAAATATGAATTATAGAGAACCTAAACATGAGCAATATGATGGGCTGGGCCAGTCAGGGTCTAATCAACTAATTACTGCCTCTGTTCTAATTTCTTAAGCCTGTCGCATTTAAACACAAATATATTTTCATTCAAAAATATTTGAAAAGTATAATCTAAACAGAATAATTTTAACTTCTTGCAACCAATAGTTTACATATTTGAATTAAATACTGTCTAGTTTAGTCTGATTGGTTCTTAGAAAACGCTACATTGTAGAGACCAGCAAACCAGCTGCTTGAGACAATTGTTTTTAGTAAAACTTGAGCCCAACTGGCCAGTAAAGCTTTACTAAATGTTAATTTTTATTCAGGACCCATCTATATAGTTTGTTTCAATGGATACGACATTCCATCTTTTTAAAACCAACGCTACAAGTTGCTGTTTCACTTTGGGTGTTATTTCCTGGTAGAGTGATCCGAAAGATTTTAGAAATCAATGAACTCTTCAACGTATTTATCAGTCTTCAAAATAGAAATGCTTTCTTCTTTACTGCGCTCAAAATTTGAGGTATCGGTTTCATTTTTAAGATGTGGAATCCATGGTGCTTGGTAGGCCTTGGTTATTATTTTCCGAAAGTCAACATCCTTGTACCAGAGGTGGTTGATTATGTCAAAGGCGCCCTCTTTGAGATTGCCATATCGTTTAGTGACGTCTATCTTTCAAGAGAGGAAAACAAAGTTGAAATGAAGCATCATAGAAAACAGGAAGTTTGACTGCTTGACTACTAAATAAATAAAAACATGGATAGAAGTTGTTATTGTGCATACTCCATATTCTTAGCAGATTTTCTAAAAGGAAAATTCGACAATGATTTCAGATCTCACAACCATTTTTCATGTCTATTATCTATTTTAAAAGTTGTCAGGAATTATTTGTAGTGAGGCCCACAGTTTAAAAAAATCTAAAATCTTACAACATTGATTGGTAAGTTTAGAGTATTCTGTATTAAACTCTGTTAAAACCTCTTCCTATTTTTAATTTTCTTTTTGCTTTTACTTTTACACTAGTTTTACTTAACAATGAACTAAACTGAGAATATTCTGGATGTCTGATGTAATGTCACCTGTTGCTCTGATGCATATGTAAACATTATAATTATAAGCACAGGTCATAGAGAATAAACGCCACTGCCAAAAACATGAGGGGATCTTAATTATTCAATATTGATAATCAATTAGTCATGTCGGGTGTGGCAGGTGCTATTAGAATAAAATATTCGTTAGAGGAGCCTTTGTGACAGATGTAAGAGTTAGAGATATTTGTGACAGTTGTATCAGTTGGGGATCTTTGTGACAGGGATCTTTGTAACAGATGTAACAGTGAGGGATCTTTGTGACAGATGTAAGAGTTAGAGATATTTGTGACAGTTGTATCAGTTGGGGATCTTTGTGACAGGGATCTTTGTAACAGATGTAACAGTGAGGGATCTTTGTGACAGATGTAAGAGTTAGAGATATTTGTGACAGTTGTATCAGTTGGGGATCTTTGTGACAGGGATCTTTGTAACAGATGTAACAGTGAGGGATCTTTGTGACAGATGTATCAGTTAGGGATCTTTGTGACAGGGATCTTTGTGACAGGGATCTTTGTGACAGGGATCTTTGTGACAGGGATCTTTATGAAAGGGATCTTTGTGACAGATGTATCAGGTAGGGATCTTTGTGACAGAGATCTTTGTGACAGATGTAACAGTTAGGGATCTTTGTGACAGATATATCAGTTGGGGATCTTTGTGACAGGGATCTTTGTGACAGATGTATCAGTTGGGGATCTTTGTGACAGATGTAACAGTTGGGGTCTTTATGACAGGGATCTTTGTGACAGTTGTATCAGTTAGGGATCTTTGTGACAGGGATCTTTGTCACAGTTGTATCAGTTAGGGATCTTTGTGATAGATGTAACAGTTGGGGATCTTTGTGACAGGGATCTTTGTGACAGATGTATCAGTTGGGGATCTTTGTGACAGATGTAACAGTTGGGGGTCTTTATGACAGGGATCTTTGTGACATGGATCTTTGTGACAGATGTAACTACCTGAATGAGCTTGGACAAGAGGTTGGAGAGCTGCGGCTTGAAATGGCTGGGATAATTGACGTTACACTCTACTATCATTTCATACAGCTTGATAGGTGTCTTATGGTCAAATGGTACATAACCTGCAATCACAATTGTTGTCTTATGGTACATAACATACAAACACTATTGTGGTCAAATTGTACATAACCTGCAAACACAATTGTTGTCAAATGGTACATAACACACAAACACAATTGGAAAGTTTAAAGGAATGTATTATTTTAATAGTGACTGCAATTAACTTATAGTGCTATCCAACAAACTTTAAAAACTATTTTGGGTGATATAAATTTGGACCAAAAAATGTGGTTCATGAAACATTAAAAATATTTACAAAATATATAAGAATATAATACAGTATTTAGTGGGAGCGAAATATTTTAAGGAACATTATATATTTTTACCCATTAATTGAGATGAGCTGTAGTAATTTTTTTTTAAGCCACACACTGGATATTGGATACACATTAGTTACGCTTAAATTGATGAGGCTAAAACACTGACCTGCAACCATTTCGTATATCAGTATACCTAAGCCCCAGTAGTCGACAGACTTGCCATAACCTTTGTTGAGGATCATCTCGGGGGCGATGTACTGGGGGGTTCCACACAGAGTCCATGTTTGGTGGCCTCGTTTGGCAAACCCGAAGTCTGCCATCTTATTGTATACACATTTTGTCAGTTTAATTGCATTCACATTTTAGAATAATTTAAAGGCCGATATTAAATAATTAATGTATTTGTCATTTGTATAGGCCTACATTACAGATTTAAAAATAAATAATTGAATAAATGCCCACGGACGCATAAACTTTATGTATGATTGTGTTAACATTATAAAACACACTAAACTAGTTATAAACTATTTCAGAAATCGTTCTCTTGCAAAATATCTCTGATTATCTACGGGCGTTTATCGGTTACCAACATTAGTACGGTATATAGAATGACCCCAAACTATCAAATGAGAATTCGACATTGTAGGCGTGGCGAGCTAAGTAATCGATAGTTCCAAATACCGCGCTAATGTTGGCCACCGTTAAGGACCGGTTTACACCAATATTCCAAACAGACATCGTATTTAAGGAAAGCTTGGTATTAGAGAATGTTTGTTAAGTAATGTCGCTGCCCACAGTGTGACGTGAGGCACTAACCTTGAGGTAACCCGTGCCGTCTATGAGAAGATTCTCTGGCTTGAGATCCCGGTACAGGACGGTAGCATTGTGCAGGTACTGCAGCGCCAACACTACCTGGGCGGAGTAAAACTGGGCCCAGGCTTCGGGGATTCGACCCTTTCTCCTGGAAACGGTCGTAGAATTTAAACGCCAGGCATTTAGAGGAGGGGGGGGGGGAATAACCGGTCGAAATTTTCAAAATTTATCAGAAATACTTGCTCACTACAACACTACCAGTTAATTAATCATGTTCTAGAAAAAGACCTTTATGTAAAAAAATATAACCGTCATCTCGACAAGTGTGCAGAGTTTCTTCCAGGGATCTCTTCGGGGGAATTTATATAGAAAGTATATACTTTTAAGTGTCCGCTCCCCGGAAATTTTAGAATTTTAGTCCGCTCCCTCCCCTGAAAATTTCAAATGCCCCCCCCCCCCCCCCCCGAGAAAATTCTGGAAGAAACATTACAGGCGTGGAGGTGTTCTCACGTAAGACGAGCGGCCAGAGTTACCTGATCAACCGGAAAAGCTCCCCGCCCGGGGAGAATTCCATCACCATGTAGAGATTCGTCGTGTCTTTAAATGCCATCACAAGTCGTATGATAAACGGAAAATTTCCGACACTACCCAGCAGTCGCTTCTCATTGATTGTGTGGTCAACCTGAAACAGACGAGCTCAGGTATTATGGGATACATCGTGCTATTTATAGACTCATGTGGTACACACGTGACAGATAAGGCTCATAACACTGAAACTTTCTGTGGGATAGATTTTTGTTGTGGACGCCAAACTTAAGATTCAACCAACGCACGACCAACCTGTTTAGTCCGAACAACCTTCTCTTTGTTAAGAATTATGACCAACCTGTTTAGTCCGAAAACTTTCTCTTTGTTAAGAATTATGACCAACCTGTTTAGTCCGAACAACTTTCTCTTTGTTAAGAATTATGACCAACCTGTTTAGTCCGAACAACCTTCTCTTTGTTAAGAATTATGACCAACCTGTTTAGTCCGAACAACCTTCTCTTTGTTAAGAATTATGACCAACCTGTTTAGTCCGAAAACCTTCTCTTTGTTAAGAATTATGACCAACCTGTTTAGTCCGAACAACCTTCTCTTTGTTAAGAATTATGACAAACCTGTTTAGTCCGAACAACCTTCTCTTTGTTAAGAATTATGACCAACCTGTTTAGTCCGAACAACCTTCTCTTTGTTAAGAATTATGACCAACCTGTTTAGTCCGAACAACCTTCTCTTTGTTAAGAATTACGACCAACCTGTTTAGTCCGAACAACCTTCTCTTTGTTAAGAATTATGACCAACCTGTTAAGCCGAACAACCTTCTCTTTGTTAAGAATTACGACCAACCTGTTTAGTCCAAACAACCTTCTCTTTGTTAAGAATTATGACCAACCTGTTTTGTCCGAACAACCTTCTCTTTGTTAAGAATTATGACCAACCTGTTTTGTCCGAACAACCTTCTCTTTGTTAAGAATTATGATCAACCTGTTTAGTCCGAACAACCTTCTCTTTGTTAAGAATTATGACCAACCTGTTTAGTCCGAACAACCTTCTCTTTGTTAAGAATTATGACCAACCTGTTTAGTCCGAACAACCTTCTCTTTGTTAAGAATTTTAATGGCGAAGCACTTGCCGGACGAGTCGCTGTTGTGTTGGGCCAGCATGACTCGTCCAAACGACCCGGACCCCAACGTTCTGATCAGAGTAAAGTTCCGTATGGACTCCTGTAAACGTGGGACAATGTGTGGACACGTCAGATGTGTTGTCATGTGAGTTGTAATAATATGAGATATGTTGTGATGGGTACTAACATGAGATATGTTGTGATGTAAGTTGTACTGAGATATGTTGTGATATTAGTTTTACTAACTTTAGATGTCTTGTGATCAGACTTGTAATAATATGAGATGTGTTGTGATCAGACTTGTAATAATATGAGATGTGTTGTGATGAGAGTTGTACTGAGATATGTTGTGATGTGACTTGTAAGAACATGGGATATGTTGTGATGAGAGTTGTACTGAGATATGCTGTGATGTGTACTTACACGAGATGTCATTCTATGTGAATGCTATAGTGTTATTTGAATGCTATCGTATTTTCGTGAAGGCTATGATATTTGTGTGAATGCTATGTTATCTATTAGAATGCAATAGTATTGTGTGAATGCTCTAGTATTGTGTGAATGCTATGATATTTGTGTGATTGCTATGGTATCTATTAGAATGCTATAGTGTTGTGTGAATGCTATAGTGTTGTGTGAATGCTACAGTATTGTGTGAATGCTCTAGTATTGTGTGAATGCTCTTGTATTGTGTGAATGGTATAGTATTGTGTGAATGCTCTAGTATTGTGTGAATGCTACAGCATTGTGTGAATGCTCTAGTATTGTGTGAATGTTCTAGTATTGTGTGAATGTTCTAGTATTGTGTGAATGCTCTAGTATTGTGTGAATGCTATAGTGTTGTGTGAATGCTATAATATTTGTGTGAATGCTATGATATTTGAATGCTCTAGTATTGTGTGAAAAAGCAAACTATTGCTCACATTGTACGAGGGGTTGGCTTTAAAACGCTCATCAAATTCTTTTTTAGCCTTTTCCAAGTACTCTTTGAGCCAATTTTCGGACGTGCTCAGGACCAATTCTCCGCTTTTGAAATCCAAGATATTACCTACATATGGAATAGAGTCTTTCATGTTTCCAGTCTTAGCGTCATTCAAAAAACTTACTTGTCTAACCCTAGACTAATACAGTTGAAAATGTTATGTGTGAAATGAAATGATTTTCCTGAGTATGATAAACTCTATCCTCTAAGAACACTAAGCTTGCCATAGTAAAGACACACTGGTAACTGATTCATCTCTATCATACTTACAAGTGCGCGATCATAAGGGAACTGGTAAGAATAGAAGAAACAGATAGTTTGAATATTAAGTGGGCGGCCTATCTTAAAAGATGAAATCCACGGACAAAATAAATAAATAACATGAATTGAACTGGAATCGTAATAGAGGAATTATAAAGTCAAAACTTAAAAAAAAGAGAAATCGATTACTTGCCACCTGCATTCTCGGTCAGCAAATTGATGTGTGTTAAAGGGACGAATAATTAGTCCATAAAAATCAGAAGAAAAATGTGTTATGACATATTTGACTAAACAGATTTAAAAAAAAAAAAAATATTGCCGCGTTTCTGTATTAGTCAATCGACATTTATAGACGTAATATTCGCCATGTAATATTTAACATTTTTTTTTTCTGAAATGTTATCACGTTATAAAAAAAACGTGTACCATCATTAATAGAGAAAAGACACCTTATTTTCCTGTAAAATTCTGTGAACTGGGCCCATGAAAAAGTCAAACAGTGTCAAATAATAACCGTTATCCAGACCCGCCGGAGATTTCACTGTAGTCTCAAACAAGCCAGCAAGAGAAAAACAAAGCCAAAATTGTTCTCGACAAATATTTTCCACAAATTCCAAGCAGTTTTCTAGAATATAACTAAACAACTTGATCTAAAGCGTGATTTCTAAGCAACGCAGATTTCCAATTCGAGGTATAGCTTATAGTATAATGTGTATGACATAATTGTAGTAATAATGACAACCATTGTTAGAGAATTAAGATCAAAGGCAATTCTATTTAAATAGCAGCAACAGTTATACTATAATTTAAAGCTTAAATAAGACTAAATATTTTAACGTTTTGAATGTCATGTCTAATTGTGATAAAACCTAGAATATTCTGAATTAAATCAAGGATGCTGATGAAAACCATGATGATAATACTAACTCCTGTGAAAAGATTGCAGTCTTATGCAGTTTCTATTACTATTCATGAGTGCCAATCTTCTTCTTACTGTCAATAGTTGATGGGTCAACACTCTCAGAGAATGGTAAAGTCATTGGGAGAAAACAAAATCCTTTGACGTCTCCTTATTAAATATATCAAAAGCATGAAAATGCGTATTCGTGGAATCAGCGTGAAAGAAGGGTCAACCCAACGCTGCTACATTTTACAATGTCCTACCCTCCATCAGAAACTAGGGTCCGACAAAGTGATGCCATGTTTAGGGTTCGTGAAGGTATTACTGGTCCCTGTTCTTTAGGAGGATTTTATGGTGCAGAATCGGGAATATAACGCAACGCGCAATCTATACATCTAAAACTAGGATGTAAAATGTAAACATTAAAATCAGCGAAACAAATAAATTAAAGGGAACTAATAATATAGGTAATTATTTACTGCGTAGAGCACTTTAACAAGAAACAACAACAACAAAACGATTACAATTAATCGAATTTTCTACGCTAAATTGAAAGCAGAAGATTTGTAAATGTTTGATATTTCAAAGTTTTGTTTGAATTTTAAATGCCATATATATATTATAACATTCTTAAAAATTAAACCCTTTACTAATAAAAAAAAAACCTATACATCTTGAAATGATAATACTTCGGTGTCGATTGGAAACTTCGATGTTTTTTTTCCATTATTTCATTCCTAGATCTCATCGCAGCTTACATAGTTGTATCATCATCTCCTCCCACTTCTGCCGGAATGTGGGTCACCAACTACAGCTCTGCATAAATCTATCTCCTACTTGAGTAAAGACCACCAACTACAGCTCTGCTTAGAAGTGATGTTTAAAAAATATAACATTTAGTTAATTTAAGCCATGACAAGAATGCTGTGTGTGAGTTACTTACTTGGGGAAGATGACCTAGAATTACCTCACTCTGCTAACTACTCACCTATTTCAAAACCTATCTGACGACAGACACGCAGACGATTGACCTCGTCACGTAGTGCTCATTGTTTTCTCAGTGAGCCCCCTTTGTTAGGTAATTATCTGCTCGAGTGAAAACAACCCATTGTTCGTTGTTGGTTGTTTCCCTTGACGAAAGCTAAGCGGGTGAGAACAATAGGACTAAAAGGTGGATTAGAGTTACCGAACTTGAGCTAGTTATACCCAGGCTATAACGTTAGACCATAGAAAATAGTAAGCAATATGGTGAATAATACCGTTTAAGTTGTAACGTTAGTCGTGTTATTTTTTCTCCATTTATGTTATACATTCGGGGGCAAGGGTGTGGACACTGGCTAAGTATACATTTTCTAGATAAAAAGGGGGAAGGGGTGTACTTCAGGGATTGGGGGGGGGGGTGTGGCCCCAATCACCATGGTACCCTGGGGTATTTGTAAAGCGAGTGTTAGGTCGAGGGCTGTGTCGTGATGTTTAGGTCTAGCTATGGGCACCAGGTGCTAGTTTGGCTGCAGCTAGTACCACGTTTATTGTAGACAAGCGAAAACAGAAAAGTACACTTTAAAAAAAAAAAGTGATTTTTCCTCACGAAATTACCCTAAAGATTCGGGTGAAGTATTTGACATGTGATAGTTTAGATCCTTGCCAGGTTGTGTACGTGTTAGCCTGCAGACGTTGGCCATCACACGTTGGCCAGCTCACGTTGGCCATCATTTGTTGGCCAGTTTTTTGACCCCCATCTGTATAAACAGCCCGCTTGTCTCCCCCTGCCTTTGAGCCAATTAATTACTTTGTATCCGTCTTTTTGTTGCATACAATTTTCGAGTCAACAGCCGCTCAAATAGATCTATACCACGGGAAAACTCAAGAGATGATTGGCCCGTGAAAACAAAAAGGCGGTTTTTAAACTCCGCAAACATTTGTATTTTTCACAACGTTTTACAAGTGAAGCTTGCGCCCTTATAAAGTAGACAGACCGTCAGAAGGTTTATAAAGTAGGCAGACAGTTCTTGTGGCCACAGTGTTGACGGTAGTGTTCGCTCATCTTGAAATCACCAAAACTTTCTTACGGTAAAGTAGCATTTTATTTGAATCAACTGCTTGATAAACACGTATTCTTGTTTTTATTGTGACCACTTCTGTCTACATTAGGATATCTGGTTTAGTTGTGATATATGACAAATGACTCAGATATATCGTCGATTTAAAGTAGAATTATAAAAATAATTACGCTTATATTTCGTTTTGATAAAATATTTAATTAATGGGCGTTTATAAGAAAAGGTACGAAATGAAAATATATAAAAATAAACTGAACCCGCAATAACGACACGAAAACAAACAATTGACCGAAACAACATGACTTTTCTAGCCAGATTTTTCTTTTTTTTCTGTAGGTAAGCCAAAATGTCCTCTTTTATTTTCTCTAGACAAGCCAAAATGTCCTTTTATTTTCTGTAGACAAGCCAAAATGTCCTTTTATTTTCTGTAGACAAGCCAAAATGTCCTCTTTTATTTTCTGTAGACAAGCCAAAATGTCCGGTTTAGAAGGCCAAGAGCTGGTAGAGTTTTTTGACGTCAACGGCTACGTGTCAGGGCTGAATGTTCTGGATGAAAAAGAAACTTTGGAAGTCAGGGCCAACTTCGACAAAGTTCAGAATGAAATTGGTGAGTTTTTGGTTGAGCTCACATTAATTAGGTCACGTCTACTGTCAGTTTTAGACCAGCATTGAACCATGTCCTCAATTTTCAGGAGAAGAAAACGCCACCTACTCCCTCCACAACAAACATCTGACGGACGAGTGGGTTCTGAGGCTTGCCACACATCCCAACATGCTGAAACCACTCAAGGTAAGCAAAGTCAAATACACGAGAAAAGACTACATGTAAGTGAAAGTCAAAATTGACTCAAGATAAAATCTGTTTCAGACTCTCCTGGGGCCGAACCTGTTCCTACTGGACTCACGATTTATCTGCAAATATCCCGTGTCGGCTGCCGAGGAAAAGGAGGCTTTTGTGGCCTGGCACCAGGATGTCAGGTAAGTCGACCTTGACCTTTGTTATGTATAAACTGTATGTCTACCCCCCCCCTCTTCTTTGTTTACCATGGCAACAAGCGACGCAATGAAACCAAACACATGTCCCCCACCAAGAAGCGGCGATCATATCTCACATTCAGGTTTCTATAGCTGCAGCCCGAATAATTTGGCTGCTTCTAGATTAGATCTTGATGAAATGTGGCCAACGTTTATAGCTTGGACAAAAACTGTATGAAGGGTCCAGTCTTTGTATGGCCGGGGGAGTAAAAGGTCTCTGGAGGGTTCAGTCTAAGCATGGCCCGGGGATTCAAAAGAGGTCAGTCTATGGCGTGATCAACACTTCCCTGGGGTTCGGTCTGAACTCACTAACTGTATGTCAACATTTTCAGGTACTGGGGAGTAGAGGGTGACGTCATCAGTGTGTGGATGGCCATTGACGACGCTGACGTAGAAAATGCCTGCATGTTTGTTATACCAGGTGAGTGAGGTGCTCAGCTAGTGATGGTACTCAGCTACTACAGGTGAGTGCTCTGTTGCCGCAGGTAGATGCTAACACATGTGTATTTCACCCTTCGCAAGGGTCAAATCTTTATTGGGCTCGGCAGTTACAGTTTAACACCAGGTACCCACATTTTGTTTAACCAGGTACCCACACATTTGTCTCACCAGGTACCCACACATTTCTTTCCACAAGGTACCCACACATTTTGTCTCACTAGGTACCCACACAATTTGTCTCACCAGGTACCCACACATTTTGTCTCACCAGGTACCCACACATTTTGTCTCACCAGGTACCCACACATTTTGTTTCACCAGGTATCCACACATTTTGTCTCACCAGGTACCCACATTTTGTCTCACCAGGTACCCACACATTTTGTTTCACCAGGTACCCACAAATTTTCAGGTACCCACACATTTTGTCTCACCAGGTACCCACACATTTTGTTTCACCAGGTACCCACACATTTTGTTTCACCAGGTACCCACACATTTTGTTTCACCAGGTACCCACACATTTTGTTTCACCAGGTACCCACACATTTTGTTTTACCAGGTACCCACACATTTTGTTTCACCAGGTACCCACACATTTTGTTTTACCAGGTACCCACATTTTGTCTCACCAGGTACCCACACATTTTGTTTCACCAGGTACCCACACATTTTGTTTCACCAGGTACCCACACATTTTGTTTTACCAGGTACCCACATTTTGTCTCACCAGGTACCCACACATTTTGTCTCACCAGGTACCCACATTTTGTTTCACCAGGTACCCACACATTTTGTTTTACCAGGTACCCACATTTTGTCTCACCAGGTACCCACACATTTTGTTCTACCAGGTACCCACATTTTGTCTCACCAGGTACCCACACATTTTGTTTCACCAGGTACCCACACATTTTGTCTCACCAGGTACCCACACATTTTGTCTCACCAGGTACCCACACATTTTGTCTCACCAGGTACCCACACATTTTGTTTCACCAGGTATCCACACATTTTGTCTCACCAGGTACCCACATTTTGTCTCACCAGGTACCCACACATTTTGTTTCACCAGGTACCCACACATTTTGTTTCACCAGGTACCCACACATTTTGTTTCACCAGGTACCCACACATTTTGTTTCACCAGGTACCCACACATTTTGTTTCACCAGGTACCCACACATTTTGTTTCACCAGGTACCCACACATTTTGTTTTACCAGGTACCCACATTTTGTCTCACCAGGTACCCACACATTTTGATTCACCAGGTACCCACACATTTTGTTTCACCAGGTACCCACACATTTTGTTTTACCAGGTACCCACATTTTGTCTCACCAGGTACCCACACATTTTGTCTCACCAGGTACCCACACATTTTGTCTCACCAGGTACCCACAAATTTTGTCTCGCCAGGTACCCACACATTTTGTCTCACCAGGTACCCACATTTTCTTTCACCAGGTACCCACAAATTTTCAGGTACCCACACATTTTGTTTCACCAGGTACCCACACATTTTGTTTCACCAGGTACCCACACATTTTTTTTCACCAGGTACCCACACATTTTGTTTTACCAGGTACCCACATTTTGTCTCACCAGGTACCCACAAGTCCGGCCTGCTGGAGCATGTGTCTGAGACCAAAGAAGGAAACCTGCTTACCTCCAACCAGTCCATCCCCGAGCAGCTCTTTGACGCCACCCAGGCCGTCCCCTGCCCCCTGAAGGCCGGGCAGATGTCCCTGCACCACGGGCACCTGGTGCACGGCAGCGGCACCAACAGGTCGCCCCGCCGCCGCTGCGGCTACGTCATCAGATACGTCTCCACCACCGCCAAGCCCATCGAAGACCCGGACCGCCCAAGGTCGTTCCCGGCAACCGTGTTGGTGTCAGGGGTCAACGAACCAGAAAATTTTGAGGACCACTCCCCCGACTGGTTCAGCTGGAGGAGCTAATGTAGGGACACTTTGAGGACCACTCCCCGACTAATGTAGGGACACTTTGAGGACCACTCCCCGACTAATGTAGGACCACTTTGAGGACCACTCCCCGACTAATGTAGGACCATATTGAGGACCACTCCCCGACTAATGTAGGGACACTTTGAGGACCACTCCCCGATTAATGCTGGAAATCACAAAATGTTTAAAAATATACTAGATTATTTACTAATTTATTTATTTATTGTTCGCCATTAATTTATTATTTCTGAAATAGCATTAGTGATGTTTATCGTGATTGTAGCGTTCGCATGCTTTTAATTTTGACATGTAATACCACTATTTCATCTCAAATAATGTTGTGTTTTCATCATCATTACCACCATCACTACCATCACCATCATCATCAACGTCACCACAACTACAACCACCATCATTATAATCATAGTCATCATCAACATCATCACCACAATCATCGTCACCACTACTACCATCGCCACCACCATCATCATAATCATAGTCATCATCAACATCATCACCACAATCATCATCGTCACCACTACTACCACCACTATCATTATAATCATAGTCGTCATCAACATCATCACCACAATCATCGTCACCACTACTACCATCGCCATCGCCACCACCATCATCATAATCATAGTCTTCATCACCATTAGCATCATCAATGTCACCACCACTACAACCACCACCACCACCACCACCACCACAATCATCATCAGCATTACCATGACCTCGAGTCAGTCCAATGCGAGAAATATCTGACCGCAGCTTTTATCTACTTTCTACGCTTGATTGCATTCACTGACCAAAGGAATGGTTGCTTATTGATGTAGCTTGTATGGTCATGTAGTAAATAAAGAATTGATTCCCTAAGACTTCTTTCTTCTTTGTATTTCATCGATACACAAGTAGCATAAAAGACGTATTTGTTCGACTAGAGAGTTGAGTTACACCCCCTGACAAGGTCCCATTTTATTCGACTAGAGAGTTGAGTTATACCCCCTGACAAGGTCCCATTTTATTCGACTAGAGAGTTGAGTTACACCCCCTGACAAGGTCCCATTTTATTCGACTAGAGAGTTGAGTTACACCCCCTGACAAGGTCCCATTTTATTCGACTAGAGCAGGGGTCTCCAAACTACGGCCCGCGGGCCAGATGCGGCCCGCGATTTCCTCTCATCCGGCCCGCTGAGATCTTTTCGTGCACGGAAAAAACGTTGGTTGGTGATGGCTGAGGAACTTTGTCCAGAAAAATCAAATACGTGCCTGGAAGAAACTGGCCCCCGAACTGAAATTTGATAGTTAATGCGGCCCTCGGACTGAAAAGTTTGGAGACCCATGGACTAGAGAGTTGAGTTATACCCCCTGACAAGGTCCCATTTTATTCGACTAGAGAGTTGAGTTATACCCCCTGACAAGGTCCCATTTTATTCGACTAGAGAGTTGAGTTATACCCCCTGACAAGGTCCCATTTTATTCGACTAGAGAGTTGAGTTATAGCCCCTGACAAGGTCCCATTTTATTTGACTAGAGAGTTGAGTTATACCCCCTGACAAGGTCCCATTTTATTTGACTAGAGAGTTGAGTTATACCCCCTGACAAGGTCCCATTTTATTTGACTAGAGAGTTGAGTTATACCCCCTGACAAGGTCCCATTTTATTTGACTAGAGAGTTGAGTTATACCCCCTGACAAGGTCTTATGAGAACTCTGTAAACATTTCTCCAGCCGCAAATACCATACCCGGTAACAAAGCCGGACACCCGGAAACAGATCCGGTAGCCGGAAACAGAGACGGACTGAAAGAGGTACGGGATTTCCCCCATGAAAACAAAGCTGAATAGCGAACAAACAAAAGCTTAGGATTGATTTTATTGAAGTTTTTGGTGATTGTCTTGCTTAATACTTTTACAATTGATTGTCGTACTCGTAAAATTGATTGTCACCCAGTCAGGTATACAATATACAGATAAAATCGTGTAAAAGTCGAATATTGCCAATTATTCTTTGGGAAAAAATATATCATGATTTTTTAAATAAAAATCAAAGCATGAATTTTTACAATTTTAAAATATGTAGAATATTTTAAATAATCCTAGAATGTAAATTAATTTTAAAAATAATCTGAATAGCAATAATCTTGAAATAGCTCTGAATAAATGCACCGTTTACATCTAGAGGACACGGGAAGGTAATTAATAAATGATCGTAGTTGACCAAATTGAAGAGTGAACATGTCTAACTATGTTTGCATTTAGAAATGTTTGTCTGCTTTTGTCTGCTTGACTACTGGGCAAAGATTTTCGAACTAAAAAATAAAATTTAAATGATTTTTTTTTCCAAACTAAAACAAATGGACCGTGCACATATTATGTAACAAAAACATCTAATACACCACGGGATATATAATGTTATACAACAATTTTACAGGACACCCTCCATATTATATAGTAAATCCACACCCCCCCTTTCCTCTTAGACAAAGAACCTTCAATTTTTTTTTTATAAACACTGTTTCTATAATTTGTGCCTAAGAACTATTCTATTTATATTTATACCTACAAATGCCATAGCCCTTTAGGAAATAGATCATTAAACAAGAAGCTAACAGTGGGCAATTAGAAAAAAAGGGAAATTTATTTAAATATCAACAACCTTGTGACAGTTCTTGACCATTTAACATAATTTATTAACAATCCCCATCAACGTATTCTGAGTTACATAATATTTGCACGAATCATAATACAGTGAGACAGAAAGCCAAAAAGGTACATAATATTTGCACGAATCGTAATACAGTAAGACAGGAAGACTAAATTAGATTTTTAAAAAACTGTCCTAGTTTTGAACAAGGGTTAAAATTCCTGACACATTCTTCAGGTTCCACGAGGTCTGCAGAGGTCATCTAGCGTGTGACGTCATCTAGTTGGCGCCGATGACGTGGACACTGTCGTCATGCTCGTAACGTTCGGTGGGGCTGGCGTGTAGTTCCGCCTCGTCCACGGGACGACGCAGGAAGAAGAAGAGGACGGCGATGGCGAAACAGGCGGAGGCGATCATGTGGAACACCAACATCAACGTCAGCACGATGTTCTTCTGCAAGTCAAAACACCAGGTCAGCTTGTTCATCCACCATGACATGCCACCACATACAAGATTTGGTTGGAACATGTTTTCTTATTTTGTTTACCAAAACCTTAAATAATCTTCATAAAATATAATGGCTATAGCAAAAAGCAAGGGTAGGCCGCTTCACTTTGTAAGGGCTTTAACATAATGGCAAGATTTTCAGTGAACTGTAGTGCGACCATACACAATTAAAGTGGGAATGTAAACTTCGCTTGTTCAGACTACACGTCATAGCTATAGTACAGTTCTTGTCCAGAGTTTCTTCCAGGCATCTCTTCGGGGGGACGAAGCCCCCCCCCGAAATTTTTTTACCGCCCCCTTAAACGAAATGAAATTTTATATAATTTATATAGAAAATATTTACTTTTAACAGTGTCCGCCCCCCCCCCCCCGAAGAAAGTCTACCGCCCCCCCCGAAAATTCCAAGTGAGACAACTCTAGCACTGACCCTGCGATGGGCAGTGATCTTGTCCTCCTCCTCCACCTCCTTGTCGTATGAGGAACCTCCCTGTCCGGCCATACTGGGCACCTCACTACTGGACATGTCCGTCATGTTGAGGTCGTAGCTGCGCTTGTTTTCTACACTCAGGTGTGGTGTAGAGAAAGGTACAGTACTACATGTAGTTTACAATACACTTACTTTACACTATTTACATGTAATTTACAGTACTACATGTAATTTACAGTACTTACACTTAATTTACAGTACTTACACTTAATTTACAGTACTTACACTTAATTACAGTACTACATGTAATGCATATAACACGTTATCTATCACCTAGGTAAACAACTTACTACAACATATATGACCTATGATGGTACCACACCAACAACTTACTACAACATCTACGACCTATGATGGTACAACACCAATAACTTACACCACCAACTTACTACACCATCTTTGACCTGATATTATACCACACCGATAACTTACTACAATATCTATGATGGTACCACACCAACAACTTACTACAACATCTATGACCTATGCTACCACACCATCAACTTACTACAACATCTATAATGGTACCACACCACCAACTTACTACAACATCTTTGACCTTATATGGTACCACACCATCAACTTACTACACCATCTTTGACCTTATATGGTACCACACCACCAACTTACTACAACTTCTACATCTATATCCTATGACCTATTGTGCCACACCATCAACTTACTACAACATCTACATCTACAGCAGCCACAGGACAAGCCGAAGATGAAGGGCACCAAACGGATGAGGATCTCCATCAAGAGGTGGTAGGCGATGAAGGCGAAGACGACATAGATAGCCTCGATGTCGGACTGGGATTTGTTCAGGTCAAGGCCGATCAGAATGAGGGCGACTGAAACAAAGAGTAAACGAGTACAACATGTTAGAATGAGGGCGACTGAAACAAAGAGTAAACGAGTACGACAGGTCAGAATAAGCTCAGCATGTTGGTCGGCATTGTCTGATTGATACGCAGTCATTATATGGAGGCATAATTTTATGAGAGAATGAGACAGGTCAGTTGGTCACTCACTAGATAGGATCCAGGCTAGTTGGCCAATGCCCCAGTGGATGCGGTTAAAATGTTTGCGGGACGGCGCCTTAATGTCAGGTCTAAACAGGGCCATCAGGGGCTACATTAGGATAAGGTCAGGTGTGTTAAAATATGACATTTGGACACGTTGAAGTTCATATATGACATTTTAAACAAGTTAAAGTTAAAATATGACATTTGGACATGCTAAATATGACATTTTAAACAAGTTAAAGTTAAAATTTGACATTTGGACACGTTCAAGTTCATATATGACATTTTAACAAGTTAAAATTAAAATATTACATTTGTACGTGTTTATGTTAAAATATGACATTTGGAAGTGTTTATGTTAAAACATGACATTTAGACACGTTAAAGTTTATATATGACATTTTTTAACAAGTTAAAGTTAAAATATGACATTTGGACGTGTTAATTTTAGATTCTGAAATGTTGAAAAGATAACGTTAAAAAATGACACTGACAAGGCTAACTTACATTAACAAAGGTCATTAGAAATTCGGCTTACAATAATAAAAGTCATGACAATGTTGACTTACATTAACGAAGGTAATGACGATCAACACAAGACCTATGGGCGGATGTAGCATGCGGTACCAGCTCTTCTCAGACGGGGTATCTGGAATCTATGGTCAGTCGGTTAAAACTTGAGGTTAGTGGGTTAAAACAGTCATTTAAAATCTGAATTCAATCGGTTAAACAAAGACATGTGTTAATCTGCCACCCACCTAACAAAGACAGTTAATCTGCCACCCACCTAACAAAGACAGTTAATCTGCCACCCACCTAACAAAGACAGTTAATCTGCCACCCACCTAACAAAGACAGTTAATCTGCCACCCACCTAACAAAGACAGTTAATCTGCCACCCACCTAACAAAGACAGTTAATCTGCCACCCACCTAACAAAGACTTACGTTAACCTGCCACCCACCTAACAAACACGTTAATCTTCCACCCACTACTCTAAGTCTACAGGACAAAACTTACTTTGCTGTAGCCTTTGGACTCCACCAAGACCAAAATAAATCCCAACAGGGTCAAGAGGGCAGTCATGGTCATACAGAAGCGGTGGACCTGCTCAGGTAAGGATACGGCTAGTTTAAATGTCTACAGGTGGGAATGTGTTGTGATTGCTGAAGTAACGAGATGGCTAGTTAAAATGTTGTGGTCATACAGAAGCGGTGGACCTGCTCAGGTAACATATGGCTAGTTAAAATGTCTACAGGTGGGAATGTGTTGTGATTGCTGAGGTAACGAGATGGCTAGTTAAAATGTCTACAGGTGGGAATGGGTTGTGATTGCTGAAGTAACGAGATGGCTAGTTAAAATGTCTACAGGTGGAATGTGTTGTGATTGCTGAAGTAACGAGATGGCTAGTTAAAATGTCGTGTAATAAAGGTATGAATGTGTTCAATTGTAATAGCTGAGATAACGAGATGGCTAGTTAATTATTCGTGTAATACAGGTGGGAATGTGGTCATTTGGAATTGCTGAGTTAACGACATGGCTAGTTAATTATTCGTGTAATGCAGGTGGGAATGTGGTCATTTGGAAATGCTGAGGTAACGAGATGGCTAGTTAAAATGTCGTGTAACAAGTGAACTGACGTGACATCACACTAGACAAATGACGTGACATCACACAAGACAGCTGATGTGACACGACACAAGACAACTGACGTGACACCACACTAGACAAATGACGTGACACCACACACGACAACTGACGTGACACCACACACGACAACTGACGTGACACCACACACGACAACTGACGTGACACCACACACGACAACTGACGTGACACCACACAAGACAACTGACGTGACACCACACAAGACAACTGACGTGACACCACACAAAAGTTAACTGACGTGACACCACACTAGACAACTGACGTGACACCACACAAGACAACTGACGTGACACCACACAAGACAACTGACGTGACACCACACAAAAGTTAACTGACGTGACACCACACTAGACAAATGACGTGACACCACACAAGACAGCTGACGTGACACCACACAAGACAGCTGATGTGACACCGCACAAGACAACTGACGTGACACCACACAAGACAAATGACGTGACACCACACAAGACAACTGACGTGACACCACACAAGACAACTGACGTGACACCACACATGACAGCTGACGTGACACCATACAAGACAACTGACGCGACACCACACCAGACAACTGACGTGACACCACACAAAAGTTAACTGACGTGACACCACACAAGACAACTGACGTGACACCACACAAAAGTTAACTGACGTGACACCGCACAAGACAACTGACGTGACACCACACAAGACAGCTGACGTGACACCACACAAGACAACTGACGTGACACCACACAAAAGTTAACTGACGTGACACCACACAAGACAACTGACGTGACACCATACAAGACAACTGACGTGACACCACACCAGACAACTGACGTGACACCACACCAGACAACTGACGTGACACCACACAAAAGTTAACTGACGTGACACCACACAAAAGTTCACTAACGTGAAACCACACAAGACAACTGACGTGACACCACACAAGACAACTGACGTGACACTACACAAGTTCACTGACGTGACACCACACTAGACAAATGACGTGACACCACACAAGACAACTGACGTGACACTACACAAGTTCACTGACGTGACACCACACTAGACAAATGACGTGACACCACACAAGACAACTGACGTGACACCACACAAGACAACTGACGTGACATCACACAAGACAGCTGATGTGACACGACACAAGTTCACTGACGTGACACCACACAAGACAACTGACGTGACACCACACAAGACAACTGACGTGACACCACACATGACAACTGACGTGAAACACACAAGAGAAGACAACTGACGTGACACTACACAAGTTCACTGACGTGAAACCACACAAGAAAGGACAATTAACGTGACACCACACAAAAGTTCACTAACGTGAAACCACACTAGCAGCCCGTATGGTTTGGAGTTGTTGAACATGGAGCGGCCGTGACGAGCGATGAACAGACCGGAGCTTGCAAACAACATCCAGGCAAAGGTCATGGACGTTCCTGCAAAAGTCAAAAATGGCTGGCTGTGAGTTTTTTGTTAATTTTTAAATTTTCGTCATGTTAGGCAAGGTTTTTAAAATGTTCCTTTCATTTTGTTAGAGAAATTCATGGTGTCTACATCATAATTGAATCGTCAGAAAAATATTACATCTCTTTCATTCCATTTTTAGTTCACAATTATCGATACATTATACAAAGAGGTTAAATTGTTATTGTCATATTACTAAACCTGCTCAGCTAACTTAATTGCTAATTATTTAAAATTAAGACCGGAATTTTATTTCCACCGAGCCAAGATACAGTGAATGTTATAGTGAATCATCCACGGGTTATCAGATATTGTGAATTTTTTCCACCCAATACAAATAAAATGATAATTGTTTCGATTAGTTCCCACAAACAAGAAATGCAATAGAAGTAGGAAGTAAAAATATGAGAAGAAGAAACGGATGTAGATCTATAATATTTAATGAGAGTATAAACCTTAACTTATCTATGTCTTAAGTTTGTGTGTAGTTTAAATATGTGTTACAGTCTGTTCTTAATCAATAATTTTAATACTTGTGTCTACATTTGCAAATATAATTTCCATTTCACAATAGATTAAATTTAAATCTAATTACGCCTATTTCCAAAAAATATAACAATACATTAACTGTTATTAAATTAATTAGCAATCAATAGTCAAAACATATGGAAGTTTGCTAATACATTTTGTATCTTTATTGATTATTTTTCAAGCAATCTTTTAAATACATAATTAAAAGAAAATATTAAATGTTTTTAAATAAATATTCATAAGGCGAGAAATATATTTTGTGCAAATCTTTCATGCACTAAAATACATTGCAATAAATTCTTTGGTTTTTTGAAGGAGGAAAATACTCTTGCAAAAATAGATTGAGACAGTTTTATGAGACTAAAAAAACTTAACAACAGTTATAATGAGATAAATAAAACTTGACAATAATTTAAACGAGACCAAAATACTTCGAGACAAATAAATCTTGACAATAAATTTAATGACACTAATAAGAATTATTTAACGAGGATAGAGTCCTACTTTATAAAAGGGATAAAATGATGAAGAAAAAAACCCAAATATGTTTAAATCTTAATCTTGTTCCCTTTAGAAAATACCGACAGATCAACCATAGACCTGTATATCAAAATATCTAGAAAGCATTTAGAATGTATTAGTGATGGAAATATTCAAATAACCAGGATGTAGGTAAGACATACTTGATGGAATTTTTTTTCTAAAGACAAAAAAAATCTTAGTAGCTAATCACATGAAATTGGCTTAATGTCATAATTTTTGTACTAAATATTTTCTTTTATTGCATTAAAAAAACAACAGTTCAGGTTTACATATACAAATTAGACCCTTAAAAATTGATTGTTTAAAAAAAGCGTATTTAATTAAATGTATCTAAATAATATCGTTTTTTTACGTTTGAATTATTATTTGGCTTATACACGTATAATGAGAAAGCTCCTGAAATATATTTTGTTGCCATCTAATTTAAATGGTGCGTTTATAAAAAGAGTATTCGCCCCTCATTGAAGACACAGAGTTAGTTCCCCTGCCGAGCCAGCATCCAGCACTAACTTGAAGACAAGGAGAGGGAGATAGCGACCACCACGACGAGCAGAACTAAGAGAGAAAGAAAAATAGGATCAGAACAGGGCGGGAAAAAGAATCGGAACAGAAACGGAGTCATTAAAATAAACTTAGATTTTACACACAGAGATAGTAAACTGATTTATTCCTGCTGATAAATACAATTTTTTCTGGTGGAAATGTGTTTTCTTTTTTAATTTCCATTTACGATGAATTTAGTCTTCCTATTTCTAATCCAATTTTAGTTTTCAAAATTCGTTAAAAGTAGAAGATACAGTTTTGATATCATCCACAAAAAACAGCTTTGACTTAAATTTTAACTTTATTGTGATGTTAAGAGGTTAGTCTAAATTTAAAACCCTGACCCTTAATTTAAATCCCAAAACCGAGAAAGAAAATGTTAAAGCCTTTACCATGAGAATTGACCAAATTGTTAACAAATCTTACCGTGAGCTTTGACCAAAATGTTAACAACCCTTACCATGAAATTTGACCAAAATGTTAACAAATCTTACCGTGAAATTTGACCAAAATGTTAACAAACCTTACCATGAGATTTGACTAAAATGTTAACAACCCTTACCATGAGATTTGACCAAATTGTTAACAAATCTTACCGTGAGCTTTGACCATGGGATAGACCGGCCCGGCCCCGCCCTTTACACTCCCGATTGACTGGAAACTGATTTTCTCTGAGGAGACTTTGGGTAACTTTTCGTAGGAGTGGGGGAATTTGTTACCTGAAATAAAAGTTTTGGGTAACATTTCGTAGGAGTGGGGGAATTTGTTACCTGAAATACAAGTTTTGGGTAACTTTTCGTGGGGAATTTGTTACCTGAAACATACGTTATGGGTAAGTTATGTGTCACACAGCTTTAGCTAGGCGTAGCCAAAAGCCTCACATAAACTCACCTGAGACAGTCTCACCTAGACTCACCTGAGACAGCCTCACCTAGACACCTGAGACAGCCTCACCTAGACTCACCTGAGACAGCCTCACCTAGACTCACCTGAGACAGCCTCACCTAGACTCACCTGAGACAGCCTCACCTAGACTCACCTGAGACAGCCTCACATAGACTCACCTGAGACAGCCACACCTAGACTCACCTTAGACAGCATAGACTCACCTGAGACAGCCACACCTAGACTCACCTTAGACAGCATAGACTCACCTGAGACAGCCTCTCCTAGACTCACCTGAGACAGTCTCACCTAGACTCACCTGAAACAGTCTCACATAGACTCCCCTGAGACAGCATAGACTCACCTGAGACTGTCTCACCTAGACTCACCTTAGACAGTCTCACCTAGACTCACCGGAGACAGCCTCATCTAGACTCACCTGAGACAGTTTCACCTAGACTCACCCGAGACAGCCTCACCTGAGACAGTCTCACCTAGACTCACTTGAGGCAGTCTCACCTAGACTCACCTGAGACAGCCTCACCTAGACTCACCTGAGACAACCTCACCTAAACTCACCTGAGACAGCCTCACCTAGACTCACCTGAGACAGTCTCACCTAGACTCACCTGAGACAGTCTCACCTAGACTCACCTGAGACAACCTCACCTAGACTCACCTGAGACAGTCTTACCTAGACTCACCTGAGACAGTCTCACCTAGACTCACCTGAGACAACCTCACCTAGACTCACCTGAGACAGCCTCACATAGACTCACCTGAGACAGCATAGACTCACCTGAGACAGCCTCCCCTAGAATCACCTGAGACACTCACCTGAGACAGCCTCACCGTATGCGACCATCAGGTAATAAGATTTACTCAGGTCGTAGACCTTGGGCTCCCGGGGGTACTGCGTCTTACGGTCAAAGCTGCACTCAATGACCCCGTCTCGTACTGACCCCTCAGCGTTGTGTATGCCTGCATGTTTCTGGAAGGTCAAAGGTCAAACCATGGAACAGTTTACCTACATTTTATTAAGCCTATTTGTACATGCAGCTAATAAAATCTCGAATGTCCCCGACCCCCCCCCCTCTATTAGTTCGACCCCCCCCCTATAGACCCACGTACGGGTTAAAGTGTGGGTAAAATAGCCGCGAATGATTAGTGGTATGGGAGTGACCTATTTAGCTAATTATGATTGAGTGAGATTGGACTAACTTAATTAGCTCATTATGATTGAGTGAGATTGAACTAACTTAATTAGCTCATTATGATTGAGTGAGATTGGACTAACTTAATTAGCTCATTATGATTGAGTGAGATTGAACTAACTTAATTAGCTCATTATGATTGAGTGAGATTGTAGTGACTTAATGAGCTAATTATGATTGAGTGAGATTGTAGTGACTTAATGAGCTAATTATGATTGAGTGAGATTGTAGTGACTTAATGAGCTAATTATGATTGAGTGAGATGAGAGTGATTAAATTAGCTCATTATGATTGAGTGAGATGAGAGTGATTTAATTAGCTCATTATGATTGAAGTGTGAAAAGAATGCCTAGTTAGCCACGCCCACGACCTACGTCATCAGGGTAGTCGTTGTACTGGCCCGTATTGTATGAGGTCTTGACCTGGACAGTGCCAGCATCCATCACACACTCCATGACACTGTCGTCTCCCTGGTGATGGGCAGGTGAACAGTGGGGTTAGAGGTTACAGGGCAAGGTTAGGGGTTAGAGGTTACAGGTCAAGGTTAGAGGTCAAGGTTAGATGACATGGGGTTGTTAGAGGATATAGGGCAAGGTTAGGGGGAAGTAGGTCTGAGGTTATAGGACATGGTTAGAGGTTATAGAGCAAGGTTGTATTGCTTCAGTTATAGTTGCACAAGTCAAGCAAACCTTCCATGCAATTGTATCAGTGCGAGGTACCCTACCATTGTAACACTGTGGGATACCTTACAATTGTAACACTGTGGGATACCTTACAATTGTAACACTGTGGGATACCTTACCATTGTATCAGTGTGGAGTACCTTACCATTGTATCAGTGTGGGGTACCTTACAATTGTAACACTGTGGGATGCCTTACCATTGTATCAGTGTGGGGTACCTTACCATTGTATCAGTGTGGGGTACCTTACCATCGTAACACTGTGGGATGCCTTACCATTGTATCAGTGTGGGGTACTTTACCATTGTATAGTGTGGGGTACTTTACCATTGTATAGTGTGGGGTACCTTACCATTGTATCAGTGTGGAGTACCTTACCATTGTATCAGTGTGGGGTACCTTACCATTGTAACACTTTGGGGTACCTTACCATTGTATCAGTATCCTACCATTGCAAGATTTTCAATGATCGATTAGATATAGGGCTAATCAACTCAGACAATTGGCCAGATACATGTGACGTGCCTACCATGTACTGGTCATGTGACAGGCCCAGAGATATCCATTGGTCAGATGTGGACGGCGTCTTGAAGAGGAACTGGAAGTGGACAGTGTCCGGCTGATACAGCCAGGAAATGACGTAGGTGCAGGGTCCCCCACCGGAGCAGTCGTGGTAGCAGCCCTTGGTCTTGCCGCACTGGGGGTCAACGGTCACCACCCCGGGGTTCTGGAGAGTTGGAATAGTCAAAGAGGGGGGGGGGGGTCAGTTAATGGGGATATATTTTACTCTTATATATAAATCAAATGCTAAATTTCACACTAGAGTTATACAAACCGGCTACGACATAGACATCATAGTCATACGTAACTGTCTGCTACGGATATAGTAGCTGTTGGTGATGTTGTGTTACTTATCTGCTACACAGAAGGTTATAAGAATTCGATCTAGTAGCTGTTGGTGATGGTGTGTTACTTTAATGTTTTCCATCTCCACCTGGTGTTAGCTACGTTTTACACCTATTTAACACACGGATGCCAGGACATCTACTGTCATACCCGCTGTAGCAGGACTATTACCCCCCCCCTCCCCGCATCGCCGCCTTATTACCCCCATTCATACCCCCCCCCCCCCCCCCCGTCCATTTACCCAGCAGCAGGCATTATTTAGGCACTCCTTTAGGAAAAGTGTTACATATCGATACTGGAAAGAGGCCATATAAGGTGTGTTAAAACGAAAGTAGCAATCCAAATTGAACAATGTGGATTCTGTGATAAGTTAGGGTTAGGGCTACAACTGGTACAAGGCAAGGGTTAGGGAATAGGTTAGGGTAAGGCCGTTTTCTGGAGGGAAAAGGTTTATTCTATAGTTCTATTAGTTCCCTTCTGTGGCCTTCTATGGGAGGCCTAGGCAAGGATACGAGTTAACACTTATTCCATACTCAACCGCTCCATTTCAGAATTCTGTAAAATGCCCAGGTTCTCACTTGGCTGGTAACATGTACTGAGGGTATTATGGAGGAGGGGGAGGGGCATATTTCATGACTATATTCCTGCTCACTTTCAACTAAATGTCGTGTTCAAAGATTAAGGTTGGTGATGCTGTATTCTACCATCTAATGACGTAATCTAATTCTTTCTTTGTAATGTCCGTTGACACTCTCAAAAGTTCGGTCCATTTGTCTACAAATGCCGTGGCTTAACTATTATTAGTCGTAAGCCTAATGAACCTTTTAGCTTTTTAAACTTGAGACTTCGACTGTTTGTGGCATATCGACACAAAGAAAAAAAACAACCATTCACAACAAATAATAATAAATAAATAAAAAGAGCTTGTGCAATTTTTGTTTGTTTATTGAAGATATGGATAAAATATATGAGCAATTTTAGGTATAAATGGAAACAAAAGTATGAACAAATGGTGAAACAAATTAAACGTAGAATGGAGTTTTGACTAGAGTTGGAAATTTTATTTTCCATTTGAATTTCAATAAACAAAACAAAAATATCGCACAAGCTTGTCATAAAAAATTAATTTAAGATTTAAAATAATTCCAACTTGGTCAAATTTCCATTCCAAGATTACATGCGTCGTTTAAAAAAAGACTAAATTAATAATTGACATAGGTGGATTGAATTTATCTGGCTACAAAAGTTAGTAGACTAAATACGTCACAGTTGAGCTACCATATAGTTTTGGTGGTGTGTGTGTGTGGGTGTAATGGGGGGGGGGGGGGGGTGGATACAATCAGATGGTAAGGTCGCTAAAGTCACTAAAGTAAGGTCTGTAAAGTAAGGACCGTAAAGTAAGGTCTCCAAAGATAAGTCTGTAAATTAATATTACTGTAAAGTAATATCACTAAAGTAATTTCTGTAAGGTCCCTAAAGTTAGGTCACTAAGGTCTCTATGATATGTAAATTATGTAGTCTCGAAAGTAAAGTGCTGAAAGTTAAGCCCCAAGCAATATCACTAACGTTAGGTCCCTAATGTAGCATTTCTAAAGTAAGGTCTGTAAAGTAAGATCTCTAAAGTAGGGCCACTAAGGTACGGTCCATATGTTAAGGTCCCTAATTCAAAGTTAAGTAAGGTCTGTAAAGTAAGGTCAATCTAGTAATGTTCCTCTATTAGGTCCCTAAAGTACAGTCCCTAAAGTAGGAGTAAGGTCACTACAGTAAGGTCTCTGTGGTTACGGTGAGCGTGATATAAAATAAAATAAAACTAAAACAAAGATTGACGTCTAGAGCTCTGCTAGAGGCAGCCATCTACCAGTAGCAAACTAAACAGAGCGCTGACCAGCAGAGTCAGTCCCACCTGGGTGTTGACTCCTGTGTTTTTGCGTGGCGTCGTTGCCATGAAGGGCGTGGTCGTCATGCCTCCAAGACGGGGCGTGGTTAGCATCCCCGGCATGATGGGCGTGGTCTGTCCTGCCGCACCAATGGAGATCTCAGCCGATGGGATCTGTGTCCAGAACACAGACTTCTCTTGGACCACAGTGGCCCTGTGGGAGATGGCGAGTAGGTGAGGGGCGTGGCGAGTAGGTGAGGGGCGTGGCGTGAGGGGCGTGGTGAGTAGGTGAGGGGCGTGGTGAGTAGGTGAGGGGCGTGGCGAGTAGGTGAGGGGCGTGGCGAGTATATGAGGGGCGTGGTGAGTAGGTGAGGGGCTTGGCAATTATGTGAGGGGCGTGGCGAATAGTTAAAGGGCGTGGCCATGTGGGAGATGGCGAATAGGTGAGAGGCGTGGTGAATATGTGAGGGGCGTGGTGGATATGTGAGGGACTTGGTAAATATGTGAGAGGCGTGGCGAATAGGTGAGGGGCGTTGCGAAGTTGGTGATGGGTGTGGCGAATAGGTGAGGGTCGTGGCGAATATACGAGAGGCGGGGCGAAAATGAGAGGGGCATTTCGAAAATATGAGGGACGTGGGGAATGTGTGAGAGGCATTTCGAATATATGATAGATATGGCGAAATCTTAGATATATAGCGAATACTTGAGAGACGAGGTGAAATCTGGAAGTAAAAAACAAGATGGTGACGTGGTTCTCTCGTGACCTTGACCCCAGGGGAGGGAGCAACCAATACTCACACGAACTGTAAAGGGGTGGGGGCGACGTTGGCTGGCACCGTCCACACGGCCTTGACCGTGGTCTTCGGCTCTGGGCTGATGTGTGTTAGACCTTGTTTCTGGACAAACAAACAAATAAGAGTGAAATCTGAGTGTAGGTCGATTCAGTTGAGATGGGTGTAAAAATTAGAGAACTAGACCTAGTCTAGTCAAACAAAAACATCGGTGATCAGGTACTCACATCGCACTTAGGCTGACCCAGAGGGGTAGCCTGGAATTCTCCAGGGATAAAATTTCCACCTTGCTTTACTCGAAGAAAAAATCCTTTGAAATTACTGGATCCGCTAATTGTTACTGGAAAAACAAATTGAATTACATGATGTTTAATGTATCAACAAGTCAACATTCAATGTCTGTTTAAATCCTGTCACCTAATTTTTCGATTACGTAACCTCACTATCATTGAACCTCCCCGCCACATTAACTTCCCACCACACAACCTCCCCACCCTACAACCTCCCCACCACACAACCTCCCCAACCTAACACCTTCCCAACACATACGCCACCACACAACCTCCCCACCACACAACCTCCCCACCAAATAACCTCCCCACCACACAACCTCCCCACCACACAACCTCCCCAACCTAATACCTCCCCACCACACACGCCACCACACAACCTCCCCAACACACAACATCCCCACCACGCAACCTCCCCACCACACAACCTCCCCACCACACAACCTCCCCACCCACACAACCTCCCCACCTCCCCACCACACAACCACCCCACCACACAACCTTCACACCACACAACCTCCCCACCTCCCCACCACACAACCTCCACAACATACAACCTCCCCACCACACAACCTCCCCACCACACAACCTCCCCACCACGTGACTCACCTTCTATTTGTTCACCAGGGGCAACATTTGTTTTTGTTGTGGTGACCTTGAAGGGGGGCTGTGAGGTTTGTGCGGGGACGCCGTGGCCGGGCATCAGGGTGCCACACGCCCCTTCTGGCGCCCCACTGCTGTATGCCTGGGTGACCTCCACCAGACCCAGACAAACTAACATAACGTAC